TTATCCCATTCGAGGTAGCTGAAGAGGAAGCCAAGGCGAACTGATAGCGACAGCAGTGGAAGAAGAGACTGCCATAGAAAAGAAGGATATTCTTTGCAAAGACTCAATCAACTTATCCACTGCAACATGCAAGACCAGGACGTGTTAGTCGACAACAAGGTGGTGATATTCAAAGACGAAAAGATGCTTGACAAGAACAGCGGAGAATAAATCAAAGTCTGCGCCTTACTGAAAGTCCTTCACGTCCTCTCTTGGCTCTTTGTTCACATGAAACGGAGATGCAATCCGACAACAAGCGGAGCAGAGCGGATATGCTAGGTATGGATGGATGCCATGCACTGCGCTTCCATGCAGAACGGGAGTTGAGAAGCGAATAGGCGCCCGCGCGTATCGGAACAGGAGCAGTCACTTTTGGAGTCTCACAGCCCTTGCACCTCGTCCTCTGTGTTTCTTTTTGAAAATATGCGAGAGCGACAGCAGGAGGATTAAGGAAAGAGGAAGAGGTGATATTGCGTTGTGTTGCGTTGATTGAGTTGGGCAAAGTTACGTTCGAAGTGAGTTGAGTTGAGGCTAAACCAAATGGTGGCTGAAGAGATAAAAATATACTGTACCTGCACCGTAAAGTACACAAGGTATAGTAGGTAGTACCTAAGGCGGGGGCATATGGTGGCTGAGGGGCCCTTGTTACAGTGAGTGTATGGAGTTTAGGAAGAGAGAACACGGAGTAAAGAGGGGAGATGAGTAGACTGGAAGGAAGTGAAATGAGGTATCAGGTTGAAGATTGTCAGTAATGACTGTAATGTGAAAGGGAAAAATTAGCTCCGTTTATCTTAGGTTAATTACTGTGTACTTTTAACTCCCGAGTATCCCGTTGGTGATAGGCGACTGAACTGCCGCTTTGACATATGTGAAGTGTTGTGTGATATCTCCGGACCCTACGATGAAATGTCTAATCAACTAACTAATTAAGTTAAGGTTGGTAAACCCACATCCACCTCGGCATCTCAACCTAAGTGGCAGACACTCTTCAGTACCTACCTAGGTATTTGGAATTGCGACCTGTGCTCTTCAAGGTCAACTCCAGCTTATCCCCATGTTGAGGCGCTTGTCCGGCTGCTTTTCATCCGCGATCCGTCAGCCACCTGCCAGAATGAGAGAGCCTCCCCCGAAGAGGAGCAGCTCAGACGAACTGATAGGCATGGCAATATCCTTAAACTGAACGGACGAGGCCCAAGATTAGATGCTGCGTTGTGTTGCAGCCAATTCCCGGAGCACGGACGACGGCTGACTTGCCGGAGACGAACGAACCATAATGGATCTCGCCCTGTCAATCTTTTGGTCCAGAAAAATCATGTGCTACAGTCCAGACCAACACAATTAACGGCCGGCATCAATTCCTCATTCCGAGTCCGAGACCAAGTACTACTCACGGCCCGATCCGGCAGTTGGCCGACCGTACAGTATATTGAACTGAAGAACTTGTTTGACGCCTTGGACTGCTTTGCTTGACGGCGTCAACTTGCTATGCCAATATTTTTGCTTAGTGCCTTGGGTTTCTTCATGAGAAGCCTGAATGTAGCTGAATTGCATGAGGGTTTCCTACTCCTGTATCGGCACGGGAGACAGGATGATGGAATTGCGGCCCGTCTTGCAGGTCAGGTCTAAGAATAAACTTGCATTGTCACCGGCACTGAACATTGCTAGGTAGTCTAGGCTGTGAGACCTGTACGGTAAGCCAAGTCTAAGACAATCTCCTGGGTTGGGTTAGGCTGAGCCGAGAACTTATGTTACCTATCTCGGCTTGGGTGACTTGCCTGCAGCTATCGTAGTCAGGAACCGAGTGGTCTATGAATATCATCACACTCGCATGGTAGCATCAATTATTGAATGCACAGCATTGCATCGTCTCTAGCTGCAAACGATTGATGCTGGGGTGGTCCCGTTTGAGACAGCAGCTCATGGCCCAGTCGTAACGCCAGCTCTTATGTATTATTATCGCTCATCCCAACCAAGTAGAGATTTTGATCGGGCAAGTCGGGCAAAATCAGAACGATGCAGCAAACATCCATTTTTGCCTGCACCCCAGGTTCCAATCCCTAGTTTTTTCAGTTGTAAATATTTGCCGACTCTCTCATGCTTCTTTTTTCTCTTGACAATCGCGGCAACTATCAGGTCTGACCGCCTTAAACGTGTTGGGCAGGAGGGCAAACAGTTCTTCTTGTTTCGCTGGTTTTTGTGCGGAGACATCCATCCTTGGATATGAACTGATACGTTAACAGATGGTGCATGAAACAGCCCCATCAACTCAGTTCAACGGTCCACGTCCACTGTCCACATTCATCGTCCACATCCAAGACGGCCACGTCGCTGTTGTCGTCGTCGATCCCAGCTCATATGGACCAGGCGGCATTGAATATGCGGGCTTTTTGAACGAATTTTTTGGTGGATAGCACGGCGTAGGTACAGGAGCTGGAGGCGGTGAAGGTTTGGCGATACCTATTCGAGCCAAGCTCTGGTCTGGGATGATGCACAGAGCTAACGTCTTGCAGGAAGCGCAGGGACACTGCAGCATCCTGTGGCGTTTGTGGATTTTGTAAAGTCGTCCCAAGACTTCAACCCGCGGGTAGTTCCATATGTACTGCGTCTGCATGTACCGTATCAGAGGAGGACTCCAGTCGTTGGACGTGTTCGTGCAGGACTGTTCAGTGATGGGCGACCTCGACATGTCGTAGAAAATACCTCAACGCAAGGTGTCGAAGCGACTAATGAGCCTTGTAGCTGGTACAGCTATTGCCTTTCATTGTAGTTATTGTTAAGTTGCCAGAGTCTTCTCAATCTAGCCTCCCTCGGGCCTTTCCATACCCGCTCCCCCAATTGCCTTGACTAGTGCAAAGCGAAGACGGCCTGGTGATCTTTAGAAGTGTTACTTGAGTTATTAGCGGTCGTCGTGGGAACCAGATGTAAGAGAGAGTCCCACAAAACTTGCCCGATGTTAAGCAAAATGAACCTGGAAGACAAGACGCGGGGGACGGGAAGGGAACGGGACGTCAACCACAGTCTCAAGGAGCTGATAGCCTTACCTTACCCTTCTGGATGAAAGGCATGTATGTACTATGCACCTCATTGATTGACCCCATTCTCCATTCTAAAAAGGATTGTAAAAGGAACTCAGGTTGTGCTAGTGAGACATCTCGTGTGCCCCTCGAAGTAACGAGAAATGTCACACCTGTCTCAATGTGTATGCCGATATTGGCCCCCAGTGGAACAACTGAGCCCGCGTGATGTCACGAGATGGAACGACAAAACCATCGCCGTCCGATGAGCTGCGCTGTAGCACCATCTGATAGATAGTCCAGGTGGATTAGAGAGTGTCGTTAGAGTAGCACATTGCAGCGCATGAGCCAACCTCTCCTTCTACGGGACCAACCAGTCTTGTTGGGAAAGCAAGTCAGAGAACTAACTAACTGCAGTTTTCTTGTGGGAGTTTATAACCGGTAACAAGATGGGAGTCAGATCCTAGTCGCAGGAAGCATCCAATCCAATGTTGGGCACACATGTGTACTGTAATGGATGGGTTTCGGGCATTGCGACCCTTCTTTTTCAAAGTTTCTGCTTCTCTCATTAGTGGAATGCACATGTGAGATTCGGGTGGCTGGGTCGATGAGAAGCTGGCAGGTCATTGGGCTTCACTAATATGTACCTCAAGGGATCTGATCCAACCACGCGTTGTGCTGCGGCCTGACCTTGCAGACCTGCATCAGCATCAACGGACTCATCTGTGGTTGGTTGGCCTGGATCGAGTGGATCGTACGTGCATGTGCAATAACACGACAGATGATGTTTACCTGTGATGATAGTGAAGGTTGTCTTCTTGATGAGTGCGCGAGTTGACGTCCTGGACATAATAACTGAGTATGATTGAGTCGAGACTTAAAAGGGGTCTTCTTTCAAGTGGCACGGGCTCTCGAGGGAACAGTGAATGGGTGTGTAGGACTTGGGAAAGAGGGTGCAGTTTGTTATGGGGTTGCTGGTCTGGTGATTGTGATAGTGACGTGCGGTTAACAATATTGGTTGGGATGATAGGTAGTAGGTTCGTACGTAGTGGAGGAAGTAAGTGTAAGTGCTTGGGAGATTGAGATAAAAGCATCTGAGTATTTGATCTAAACGCTGTATGCTGAATAGCGAACAGATGTACCATTGTGTGAGCTGAGAAGAACTGGGATCTGTCTCTTAGCTCATTGCATCTAGATAACGAATGCTATTAAAGTTCTCATTATCCTCATATTCCTTCTAGGTCCCGCATTCTATGCATGGTGGCGGCGTGTTTATTGCGCACTCGAGTGAGTCCAGAGGGAGGTAGTAAAAGAGAAGGGCACGTCCCCCTGCTTCAAGCACTTACAGGACCTTAATTAACGTCTCTCGCTGTCACTGTTGCGTTGATTTCCCTGTCCAGTTCCCGCGTTTGCCCGCCTTTTCGCCTGGCTGCACATCAACGTTGGACGCTGAACCCTGTCGTTTGCATTGATTCTACCCATTAAACAGTGGTCTTGACAAGTACAACATCTGAGCAATTCGCCTGCTGGCGATCTGAACATCTAGAACTGGCGTCATTGGCTCTTAGCTCAACTAATTTGTCTTGGTCTGAAGCGCCCAAAAAGTATTGTATGGGACCTTTTACCGATTCGACCTTCCCTTCTTCCCTCGCTGTCCTTGCCATGCACTTTCTGCAAATCATCTCCTCGTCGTCGTGAATTCTTTCCCCTCCTCTTTCCCCATTTCCCCCTTTGACATCAAATCTTTTCTGTTTTCGAGGAGATCCAACTCGAGATTTGACCTTGCCTCGAGTGGTCGAACGTTGTCTTTTTTGTGTTGAAGCTCATTTATTTATACAGCGCGCAACGCAAGACCTCGAAAAAAGTAGTCCAGGCCAGACGACGATCCGACGACTGGGGTGGTTGGTGAAAAGTGACAGTTGGTCGCCCAGGGTTTGTTTTGTCAATTACCCCGGGAGTTACTCTCATCACGCTCCTTCGACTTGACAACGCCGCAGTTTTGTTTCTTCCAACGATTCGACACTTTTCCCCCCTTCACTAGCGCGTCATCATCTAAACATTACCCTCGACCCTGACAATACCTCCGGCTTTTTAACGACGTCGCTTTCGACAGCCTCGAACAGGGCCAGACCCTGCAACTCTGCTGTTTGATATTGCAGTCGATTACGACTTACACGAAAACTCCCACGAAACTACGAATACGCTCGGTAACGAACTACACATCCCACACTGTCCTTTGTTCCGGCGCCCTGGCTCAGTTGTCGCTACCTCGTCGCCTTCCATCCTTCTTCATATTTATAGCTTCCATGTGTGTGACGTCGCTCAGTCTTCGCACGAGCTCCATTCTTCACAATGGCCGCGGTCGATGTTCTGGCGTTCACAGACAGTTGGACAAGAAACGCACATGGCCTGCCGGTCTTCCAGTGTTTGTCAAGTGCGCCGGTTGATCGCTCTTTGCATCACCGACTGAGTCTCATTGCCCGTGCCTGGGTTGTTCACAGGTTACATGAAAATGTATGTTTGTTCCATTTTCTGCTCAGCTTGCGTAGTTGCAATTTATATATTGTCGCTTTTTTGCTTGATTCATGTTTCCCAGCAAAAGCTTAACAGACTTTAAATGGGTGGCGCTCAACGGCCAACCCCTCGATCAGCGGCCCGAACTCCTGAGGGGAACCCACCGCCACCCATTCCTGTCTTGTCATGCGATCCAGTTCCGGAATTGGAACATGTTTGAAAGTCTGTCTTATCTAACGCCATTCAATTTGTCTAGGTCTCTTCTTCACCATCACATCGCAAAGTGGCCGAGAGGCCGCTAATCATACCAGATCATTCTCCACGATGGTATTGTCGTCTCCCTCGATCTTGCGACTCTTCTGATCCTACCGACACCACAATGCCCCTGAATGGGACCAGCCGTTATGCCCATATGCGAACCCCAGCATGGCTCAATCCATCCCCTCAACCATCATCAGATGCTCAGAAAGAACGCCGCCGACCGAATGATGCGCTTCTTAACGATCCTAATTCCGACATCCTCATCGACTTCAACTCGAACCAAGGTTTCTACGAAGCGGCAAAGAAGAAGAAAGCAAAAGCACCTTCTGCTCCTCCACCACCGCCTCCGCCGCCTGCGGCTCCACCAGCAGACGATGGTCAAAAGGATGATAATACTGGAGGCGATGGAGGAGCTAGCGGAGGAGACGCTGCAGGCGGCGCTGGCGATGGAAATGGTGGTGGCAACAGCAACTCGCCCCCGAAACCTCCCACAACTTTCGAGAATATCAATCTTGGAGATAATAAACTAGATCTTGGTTTAAGCCCACCGGAAAACAAGGGCATTTCTAGTTCATGGGGTGCGAAATTGGGGTTTGGTGGTGGAGGATGGGGATGGGGCGGAGGAGGGAAAAGTGAAACGGCATCAACACCAGCACCAGCACCAGCACCAGCACCGCCGCCGCCACCACCCCAAGAAACAAAAGCCGAAGAGAACCCATGGGACAAACCTAAAGATAAAATAGGAGGAATAGAAGAAGATGACGATAGTTGGGGCTTCGGTACCAAGAAGGAGAAGAAACAAGGATCCACGCTCTGGGGCGCCGAACCTGACGAGGAACCAAAGGACGGAGACGATCCTTGGGGTTGGAGTGGTCAAAAAAAGAAGGGCAAAGCTGGTGGCATCCTAGAAGAACTTGCCCTCGATTCCGAGCCTGCACCCCCCAACGGAAAGAAAGATATTTGGGATACTTGGGGAATATCCAAAAAGGACCGGGCGAAGAAGAAGGGAATCATGGAGGAAGTTGCATTGGCAGCTGCACCTGATCCCCCTTCAATGGAAGATCAGTGGGGTGGCTGGTCTGGGAAAAAGGAACACACACAGAGCTCACTTTGGGGAGCTCAAGATTCAATACCCGCACCTGCCCCTGATCCCCCTTCGTTTGAAGACAAGGATGGTGACGACTTTTGGAGTACCTTCGGCACTGGAAAGGCAAAACCCCCGCCAGAGGAGACGAGTGGATGGGGATCATGGGGTGTAGGAAAGAAAGGTGAGGATGAAACAAGTGAGTCAAATTTCTTTAAAGCTCATCAAATCCCAGAGCCGCCTAAGACAAAAGACGACGGTTGGGATCTATGGGGAACAGGTAAGAAAAAGAAGAAAGCTGGCGACTTGATTCAAATAGAGGATGATATCCCTCCTCCCGCCCCCGATCCCGTCGAGGCTGTTGGCACCGACGACTTCCTCGATTCTTGGGGTTTTGGCAAGAAGCCCAAGAAGCCGGCCGCTGACCCGTTCGATTTCAAAACTTCCGGCGCCGATGATCCTAACGATGCTTTTTGGGGCTCAATAGACAACAAGAAGCCTGATGCACATGATTTTCTTATCGATGCTACTGGTGAGCTAAATCATGACGTTATTGGGGAAGGGTTGAGAAGCAAGGCTCAGATGATAAAAATATCAACTGTGGTTGCACTTCATCCCCCATGGCGAAGAAGTTGAATAACATGGAAATACGCCTTGTCTGACCGCCCTCCCCCAATATCAAACCCCCACACTTGTAGAACTCGCTGAACGGATGGATTTAATAGGAGACCCAGAGCAAGCCGCCAGAGAAGCTGAAGAGCAAGCCGCTCGCGAAGCCGAGGAAGCCGAGGCCGCTCGAGAAGATGAAGAGATTGCCAGTCTCTTGGACAAGAAAGCGAAAAGAGGAGGACGGCTCCTTAAGTCAGATCGAGAACGTCTTGCTCTTCTTGAAGGCAATGCCACCAGGAGAGCTGAAGCTCGAGCTACTCGCGAGGCCGAGGCGGCAGCTGCCGCTGAGGCTGCACAGGCCGCCGCTGATGCTCAAGCAGCAGCCGACGCCGAAGCTGCCGCTTTACAGGCCGCTGAAGACGCTGAAGCAGCAAAGGAGAACGAGGAAATTGCGACACTATTGGCGAAAAAGCAGAAACGCGGTGGAAAGTTGCTGAAAAAAGATCAAGAGCGCCTTACTCTGCTTGAAGGGAATGTCTCAAGAAGAGCCGAAGCTCAAGCCGCCCGGGAAGCTGAAGCCACGGCCGCTGCTCCAGTTGTTCCAGAGGCTTCTACTGATGAACCTCTCTCTCAAGAGACAGAACAGGATGGCCTTGCCACGCAAGCAGTTGCAGAAGCTGACACTGCACTCGCCACCGAAATCGCGCAGGAAGCGGCGGAAATAGAGAGCCTGAAATCGAAGAAGGTGAAGAAGGGAAAGCTTCTTAAGAAAGAGCAAGAACGACTGAATTTCCTGATCGACAATGTGGCGAAACGAGCCGAGGAACAAGCAGCTAAAGAAGCAGAAGAACATGCAGCGAAAGAAGCGGCTGATGCCCAGGCAGCAGCAGCAGCGGAAGCCGAAGCCGCTGCCCAAGCTGCTGCAGATGTCGAGGCTGCAGCTCAAGCCGCTGTAGATGCTGAAGCTGAAGTAGCTGCCAAGGAAGAGGAGGAAATGGCAGTGCTGAAAGCTAAGAAAGCCAAAAAGGTCAAGCTAACTAAGAATGAAACGACTCGATTGATGACCTTAGTTGGCAACTCAGTAAAGCGAGCTCAAGCAAAATCTGCTAAAGAGGCCGAGGAAGCAGCCGCGGCGCAGGCTGCTAAGGAAGCTGAGGAGACTGCAGCTCGTGAAGCAGATGCGATGGCAGCTCGTGAAGCTGAAGCGACCGCAGCTCGTGAAGCGGAGGCTGCAATTGCTGCCGAAGAAGAGAAAGAACTTGCAGATCTCACCGCTAAGAAGATCAAGCGAGGCGGTAATCTTATTAAGAAAAAAGACGTGGAGCGTTTTAATGTCCTTACTCAAAGGGCTGCCGAACGAGCCGAACGAGCAGCCAAGCAAGCTGAAGAAGCTGCTGTTGTTGAAGCTGAAGGAGAACCTGCAGAAGCCGCCCTGGGAAACGCAGAAGTGGTGATCGAAGCACAACCCGAGCCAGAGCCTGAGCAACCGCTTGTAGATATAGACGCTGCGTCTGCTGACCCCGAATCTGTCACAGCTCCTGACGCAGCTATTATCGCAGAGGAAGAAGCAGAGTTAGCCAGTCTAGACGCAAAGAAGACAAGGAAAGGCAAGCTTGGCAAAAAGGATACAGAGCGGTATAATATCCTTACAGAAAATGCTGCGCAACGACTAGCTGCTAAGGAAGCAGAAGAAGCTGCTGGTGCTGCCGAGGCTGAGGCTGCAAAGGAAGCCGAAGAAGCTGCAGCAACTGCAGCAGCCGCAGCCGCAGCCGCAGCCGAAGCAGAAGCCATAACAGCAAGCGAAGCTGAAGCTATCCTGATTGCTGATGAAGAGGCAGAGCTTGCTACTCTTGCTACTAAGAAGGCCAAAAGAGGGAAGCTTGTTAAAAGGGACGCCGACCGTTTTAATATTCTGACAGAAAATGCTGCGCAACGACAAGCCGCCAAGGAAGCAGAAGAAGTAGCTGCAGCAGCTGCGTCAGCTGAGGCTGAGGAGCAGGCTGCAAAGGAAGCAGAAGCAGCTGCCGCAGCAGAATCTGCTGCCGCCATAGAAGCAGCCGAAGCAGAGGCGGTGGCAGCTCGTGAAGCAGAGGCCGCAGCTATTGCCGAGGAAGAAGCCGAGCTGGCTGTATTGGCTACTAAGAAAGCTAAGAAGGGTAAGCTTGCAAAGAAAGATGCTGATCGATTTGCTGTTTTATCAGAAAATGCAGAAAGGCGAGCTCAAGAAGCAATCCAGATACTCGAGCAACCTGAAGATCATATACTCGAGCAACCTGAAGATCATATACTCGAACCCGAGACAGAAGTTAACGAACCTCCTCCCGAACCAGTCACAGATGAGGTCTCTGCTGAAGCCGATGACCCTGATGCTATTGCAGCTGCTGAAGCAGTAGCCGCTGCTATTGCCGATGAGGAATCTGAACTTGCTGCTTTGGTTGCCAAGAAGGAGAGAAAGGGCAAGCTTGGGAAGAAAGATACCGATCGCTTTAACCTCCTTATTGCCAATAGCACAGCACGGGCAGAGAAAGCGGCTCAAGAAGAGGCAGCTGCTCAAGCCACTGTTGAGGCTGAAGTAGCCGCGCAAGCTGAAGCTGAGCAGGCAGCCGCAGCCGAAGCTGCTGCCCTCGAAGAGGCTGCGGCTAGAGAGGCTGCAGAAGCAGAAGCTACACTTATTGCCGAAGAGGAGGATGAGTTAGCTGGTCTGACTGCCAAGAAGAATAGGAAGGGCAAACTTGGGAAAAAGGATAGTGACCGGTTTGCCTACCTGACAGAGAATGCAGCTCAACGAGCTGAGAAAGCTACTGCGCCAGAAGTCATGGAAGAGGCTGTTCTACAAGTCGAAGACCCTGATGAAAATCCTGCTGATGCTGATGCTGATGCTGATGCTGATGCTGAAGCAGCTGAGGCCGCTGCTATTGAGGCTGAAGCAGCTGCTATTGCTGCTACTATTGCTGCCGAAGAGGAAGAAGAGCTTGCTGCCTTGATTGCTAAGAAGGACAAAAAGGGCAAACTGGGTAAAAAGGATAGTGATCGATTTGCCTTCCTTACTGAAATCGCCACCCAAAGAGCCGAAAAGGCTGCACATGAAGAAGCCGCCGAGGAAGACCAAGAAGCAGCTGCCGCCGAGTCTGATGTCAATGATCACCCAGCCGATATCGAGGAGCCACTATTCGAAAATGCCCTAGAGCCACCAGTTGTTGAAGAGGAGACCCCCCCTGAAGATGATGATGCTGATGCAGCAGAGGCTATGGCCCTACTTGCCGCTGAGGAACAAGAGATGGCAGACTTAGAGGCGAAGAAGGCAAGGAAAGGCAAGCTGGGCAAGAGGGATATGGAACGATATACCCTCCTTACTGAAAATGCTGCTAAGAGAGCTGAAGAGCAAGCAACCAAAGAAGCCGAGCTTGCTGCTGCTGCCGAGCTTGCTGCCATTGAGTCTGCCGAAGCTGAGGCCGCTGAAGCTGAGGCCGCTGCTGCTGCTGAGGAGGCGGCAAGAGATGCCGCTGAAATTGAGGCTGCGGCAGCAATTGCCCAAGAGGAAGAAGAGCTCGTTGCCCTAGAAGCAAAAAAGCAGAGAAAAGGAAAGCTGGGACGCAAAGATACAGATCGGTTTAACTATCTCCTCTGCAACAAGGTTGCAAGGGAAGCCCAGGCTGCTGAGGAACAAGCTGCAAAAGAAGCCGAAGAGCAAGCAGCTGCTGAAGCTGAAGAAGCAGCAGCTGCTGAAGCTGCCGCCGCTGCCGAGGCTGAAGAGATAGCTAAAAGAGAGGCTGCTGAAGCCGAAGCTGCAGCTGTTGCTGACGCCGAGGACGAAGAAATGGCCACTTTAGCAGCCAAGAAGACCAAGAAGGGTAAACTAGGACGCAAGGATACAGAGCGTTTTGAGCAGTTGACTTTGAATGCCGTCAGACGAGCCGAGGAACAAGCGGCCCGTGAGGCTGAGGCTGCTGCTGAGGAAGCCCCGGCCGTAGAAGAGCTACTTGGCGAAGAAGACCCTGAGGAACCAGCACCGGAACCCGAAGAGACTGTCGAAGAAGCCCCTGAGGACCCGGTCCCCGATATTGACGACGACGCCGCCGCCGAGGCCGCCGCCATTGCCGCAGAAGAAGAGGCAGAGCTCGCTTCACTTGAAGCTAAGAAGGCACGGAAGGGAAGACTTGGAAATAAGGATACCCAAAGGTTTACATTTTTAACCGAAAATATTTCAAGACGCGCTGAAGAGCAGGCAGCAAAGGACGCCGCTGCTGCTGTTCAAGCTCTGGCCCAGGCTATCCCAGAAGATGTTGCTGAAGAAGAGGATATCACTGGTCAAGAAGATGCTGAAGCTGCCGCTATCAAAGCTGAAGCTGCCGCTATCGAAGCTGAAGCTGCTGCTATTGCTGCTACTATTGCTGCTGAAGAAGAGGAGGAGCTTGCTGCCCTTGCTGCTAAAAAAGCGCGAAAGGGCAAACTTGGCAGAAAGGATACAGATCGCTTTGATATTCTAACACAAAATGCAGCTAGACGCGCGGAAGAACAAACCATTAAGGAAGCCGAACATGAAGGTCAGGTAGAGGAATTAATACCTGAAGAGGTTGAGGACATGGCTGAAGCGGAGCCCGAAGAGAACCCTAATGCAGAAGAAGTAGCTGCCCAAGAAGCAGCCGAAGCCGAAGCCGAAGCCGAAGCCCGAGCTATTGCTGCAGAGGAAGAGGCAGAACTTGCAGCGCTAAACAAGAAAAAAGCAAAGAAGGGGAGACTCGGTCGCTCCGACACTGAGCGGTTTAATATCCTTATCGATAATGCTGCAAAGCGTGCCGAAGCTCAGGCAGCCAAGGAAGCAGAAGAGGCTTTAGGAGACGCACCCCAAGCTGAGGAGGAGGAAGATGATGAATTTGTCGATGCTGAAGATGGCGAGGAGGACGAGTTAGCTGAGGAGCTAGAACCTGTAGCCGATGAACTTGCTGAGCCTGAGCCTGAGCTTGAGGAAGATGAAAGAGCTACAGCTGAAACCACGATAGCTGAGACAGCAGCGCAAGCTGCCATCATCGCAGAAGAAGAGGCTGAGTTGGCTGCATTGACGAAGAAGAGGCTCAAGAAAGGAAAACTGGGCCGCAAAGATACAGAAAGATTTCAAGCCCTGTCAGAAAATTCTACCAAACGCGCTGAAGAAGCGGCAGCCCGAGATACAGATGACGCAGCTGCAGAAGTCGAAGCAGAGCTTGGTGAACCCGGACCCGAGCCTGAATATGATGGCTTGAAGGAGGCTGAAGCAGCGATAATCGCCGAGGAAGAGGCAGAACTGGCAGCCTTGATGAAAAAGAAAGCAAAGAAGGGGAAACTTGGTCGGAAGGATACCGAGAGACTCATCGCATTGTCGGAAAATGCTACCCGTCGCGAAGAGGAGCGAGCTGCTGCTGAGGCCGAGACCGAAGCCGTTCAGGAGGAGCCCGAAATTGAAGGCGTGGAAGAGACTGAAGGAGAACACGGTGAAGAAGAAGGCGAAGAGCAGGAGCGGGAGCCTACTGAAGGACAAGACGAAGGAGCTGCAGCTCGAGAAGCTGAAGAGGCGGCTATTGCGAGGGAAGAGGAAGACGAGCTCGAGGCCCTTAAAGCCAAGAAAGCAAGAAAGGGCAGATTAGGCAGAAAGGATACTGAACGCTTCGCCACCTTGGAGGAGAATGCAGCAAGGCGTGCAGAAGAACGTGCTGCCGCTGAGGCTACTAAAGCCAACTCACCTGAGGAGGAAGATGGTGAAGAGGAGGAAGAGGAGGAAGAGGAGGAAGAGGAGGAAGAGGAGGAAGAGGAGGAAGAGGAGGAAGAGGAGGAAGAGGAGGAAGAGGAGGAAGAGGAGGAAGAGGAGGAAGAGGAGGAAGAGGAGGAGGGGCCTGAGGCAGACGATGAAGATCAAGCTGCCGAAGAAGAGTTGGCAGTTCAAGAAGCAGAAGAGGCCGCAGCTCGGGAAGCAGAAGAGGCAGCTATCGCTGAAGAGGAGTATGAGCTCGAGGCCCTTCAAGCTAAGAAGTCAAGAAAGGGCAGACTAGGCAGAAAAGACACAGAGCGGCTTCAAGTCCTAGAAGGAAATGTAGCGAAACGCGCCGAAGAACGCGCTGCTAAAGAGGCGGCAGCCGGCGATGAAAATCTAGAAGCCGATGATGCTGAGGAGGAGGAGGTCGAGGAGGACGACGATATTGATATTGGCGAAGAGGACAAGGGGGAAGATGATGCTAACGCTGAGGAGGCAGCAGCGGCAGCAGCTCGAGAAGCCGAAGAGGTAGCAGCTCGAGAGGCGGAAGAAGCCGCAGCTCGTGAGGTGGCCGCGAAAGAACTGGAGGAGCTTGATTCCCTTCAGTTCAAGAAAGCAAGAAAAGGCAGGCTGGGCAGAAAGGATACCGAACGACTCAGAGTCCTAGAGGATAACGCTGCCCAGCGTGCTAGAGAGCTTGCGGCCAAAGAAGACGCTGCCGCCGCAGCAGCAGCAGCAGAAGTTGAGGAGGAGGATGTGGTTGAATTCAGCAATCCCCTTGAAGAAGAAAAGTCGGAGGTTGAAGTTGAGGAGGAGGAGGACGATGATGAGGAAAAAGCAGCCGACGCTGAAGACACTGCGGATAAAGAACCGAGTGAAGTCGAAAATGAAGCTGCTGTCGACGAGGACGAAGACGACGGGGACGAAGAAGAAGAACCCGAAGTACCGCCAAAGGACGAAGGACCTGAAGCTCCCGAAGCCCCTGCTGATGATGAAATCGTCGAGGTCATCGATTTGTCGCCAAAGAAAGAAAGGAAGAGTAGGAAGAGCAAATCCCGTCGCGATGCTCCTCCTCCTCCTCCAGTTCCAGATCCTCCACTGACGCCACCACCTGAGCCGAAGCAGTCTCGAAGGCCCAAAATTCACCGCGAAGGAACCTCGTTTGGTCGGTGGGGCGCGACACCACATGAAGAGAGGGACGAGTTACCTCAAGAGAAGTCGAGCAGACACAGACGGCGGGAGGAAAAGACATCGTCTAAGGGTTCCTCGTCCGACAAAGTCGAGAAAACTCCATCACGATCTCGTGGCACTGGCTTGTTCAGTAAACCACCACTCACTCGTTCCGCTACCACGCGCGAGAAGAAAGACGACATCAGCAGCAAACGTCGCCACTCTACGAATGCTCGTGGACTTGTGTCGCCTCCTCCTGAAGATATGCTCATGGGCGAGGATGAAACAAGCAATCGCCGCAAGTCGCGTAAGCCTCGATCACGCGAAGACGAAGATGCAATGATGTCTGGCGCTGCTCCTGTGCCTGATAGATATGAACGACGCCGCTCACACAAGCCACGATCGCATGAGGACGATGATTTGGTCATGGTAGATCCTGACCTTGCGACTGATAGACGCGAGCGCCGCCGGTCCCACAAACCACGATCTCGCGAAGAGGAAGAAGTTGCCATGGGCGATACCGAACGTCGTCGGCGAGCTAGGAGATCGAGAGACGAAGAGCCCGTGATGGTGGAGCCCGACGTTCCTTTTGACGCACCTCCACGAAGTTCCAAGAAGTCCTCAGGCTTCGCTGGCCTCTTCAGTGGCTTACGAACGCCCAAGACTGAACGACCTGACCCTCTGCGACGTCGCAGTACCTATGCGACAACTGACGATGAAGCCTTACGCAGTGCCAAAATGGATGGTGATGCAGTATTAGTAGATGCTGACCGCGAAGCAAGACGAGCTGCACGTAGGGCCAAGAGGGCCGTTGAAGGCGGCCCTGACCCCGAGGAAGCAGCGCGTCGAGCTCGAGATGAGGTGCGCCGTGAAAGACGTCGACGGCGCGAGGAAGAAGCCGATCCTCAAAGACAAGATAAAGAGGCCCGCCGTGCTGAACGCAGACGACAGCGCGAGGAAGATGCAAGACGAGCCCAGGAGGAGCGACAAGCGCAGGAAGAACAACAACGACTGCAAGAGGAAAAGGAGGCCCAAAGAGCTGAACGTAGGCGCTTGCGTAGAGAACAGGAAGCAGCTGCTGCCGCAGAACAAGCAGAAGATGAAGAGGCTCGTCGGGCTGCCAAACGTGAACGCCGCCGCCGCGACACAAAGAGAGCTGCTCGAGGTGCGGAAGAAGAGGAAGGTCATCAGCGACGAAGTCAGCAATCCGCAGACGAATACAATCAGCGGAGATCCCATCGTCGCGAAGAGAGACCGCAGGCACCAGCTTGGCCTCATTCTGGGACTTCGTCATGGGTTAAGGAACACTCTGACGCACCCCCTCCTCCTGACCCCGCTGATGCGGGTGATGCAAATGGTGGACAGACCGAGGATGAGATGGCAAGACGTGAAGCTCGTCGAGCTCATCGATCGAAATACGGAGAAGAGACGACAGAAGAGGCCGAAGATCGGCGAAGGCGACGAGCAAGGCGAGATGATCGTGAGCGCGGTGGTCGGGATAGAGAACGTCACCGAGATAGGCGTTCGGAAGGTAGTGATGAGCGACACCACAGCCGTCGAGCGTCAACCTTTATGGACGCAACAGCAACACCTCGTACAAGTTGGTGGAAGAAGATCGCTGGGTGAGCGGTGATCTGATGATGGATGAACGAACCGACGAACAAACGAACGAACGATGCATGAGTCTATTTCAAGCGAGCGTGTTTATGAATGTTATTTGAATGTGTGTCACTACTTCATGCGTTTCGTTGTGGTGGTCTTGTTTTCGGTAACCACGTTCTATGCCAACATGACACCAACATGGACATGGTCGGTGTTTAGGTTTGGCATGACATTATCAACGCATGGCATGTCTGGGATGGGTGCTTTGAGGATATTCTAGCATTGGATATTGGATATTGATTATTATGGTATTTGAAGTCTGGATATACGTATGTATTAGGACTGTATATGCTGGATATAGCAAATTGTTGTACTACATGTATACCCAAGAAACAAGGCAAGACGTCGACAAAATATGTGATTTTTTGTTTAGAATGTACTCATTATCGAAGTTGAATGTTTCTATGTGTGACCACCTATCTAAATTATTCAGTGCTCTTTGTGTCGATTCTACCAAGTCACATAGCTGTCACTACTCTGAGGTAAAGGGCACATTTTCCATTCTACTGTCAAATTTTAGCATATCTCTGGCTGGACTGACACCGCAATGTTAGTATGAAAGTATACATGTTGGAGTAATTCAATCCATTGCATAATTAAAGCGAATTCCTTAGATACTTTGTTCACACAATGATACAGGTAATCCCAACATAGCCTGCCCCTTGTCCTAATCATCCTAGAGCATCCTCCCTCCCTGGTCTGGAGCTCTATGTCTCACTCCACTTACCACCCACTAACATTAGTACATGCCACTCCCAAGTTGCGCTGACGACACCTCAACCTCGAAACCAACGTTTCCCTGCAAACCACCACCACCAAACTACGACTAAACCTACATTGCATCTGCAGTACAAACTGTTCAACTTAGCGCCACTTCCAGGCGCTACGTTTACTTCTTCTGCAGCACATCGATGAGGTGACCACCAGCGACTACGTCAATCAGTTGACGACCGACAACGACGAGCTGTAACCCAGCACCTCGGACGCTCTCGTCACTAGACCATGACTGCGCCGGGTAAAGGGTCGCGATGGGGAGCGTTCCTCTCGTCGGCCTTTGAAGGCGTCGAGAATCGTCTCGACAACTTACTTGACGAAGACCAACAGGCGGCACAAGGATATGAGCAGCAGCAGGGAATGAAGGCCGCGCCCGCGCCATCACCAAGCCCTAAACCTACTGCATCTGGTAAGCCGCTCTCTACTCATAAGCTGTGTTCCGGTGAAGGCAGAACTGTCGCATGCTAACTCGTTCTTCGCTATAGCTGCCGCTCCGAAGCCGAATCGTGCCAATGATCGTCTACAAGCCAGGTTGGCCAAGGCTATGGCCTCACGAACCTCACAATCATCGCCTCGCAGCTCCATCGATACTTCTCGCAGTTCAGTTGACAAGGAGCGCCCTGCCAGCACTGAACCTGTTGTGACGAGACAAAGCATCGAGGTATCGGAACCCAAACTAACTGAACCCGACATCCAAGTCGACAAGTCAACCTCCTCTGACAGCCCAGCTTCCGCCCCGACAGTAGAACAACCAGCGACATCCGAGGAAAGCGACAGTAGGGAGATCACTGAACAAAACTTCAAGCATGATTTCCCCACCCCGATTATCGTTGAGCCACCTTCTCAGGCCGAACCTCACAGTGCTCCGGAACAAGAAGTCACGGACAAATCCGAGGTCCAACTAATATCTAACAGCCCAATACCGGATACTAGGCATCCTGTAGAGGCACCACAGATCGTAGATGCTCCAGTCGAAGAGCCACAGAAAGACCAGGACGCCACCCAAGCTCCCACGCCTCGTTCAGAAGAGATTCATGAGTACATTGAGCAAATCGACTCACTACAGGCCAAACTGCAGTTTCTATCTAAAAATGCCGCTGATGCAGCTAGGCAGGCTGCAAGTTCTGCTGAAGCGGGTAGTGTAGAGCGGAAATTGGCCGAAAAGGATGAGAAGATCGCTCTGCTGATGGAGGAAGGACAAAAGCTTTCAACTTCAGAGCAAAAGTTCCGAACAACTGTTCGCAAGCTACGCGCCCAGATTGTAGACAATGAGAAACAGGCCAACGAACTCAAAAAGGGCAAAGAAAAAGCTCTGGCCGAGGCGGAGTCCCTACGTAGTCGAATCAACAGCAAGGAAGAGCAAGACAAGAGAAACGAGGAAGTGCGAAAAGCGAGCGTTGCCCTGAAGAAGGAAATCGATGCCCTGAAGAAAGACAAAGCAGTCAAGGAGGAGGCCTATCGACGTCTGGAGCAAGAATCTAAAGCCAAGGCTGAGCAAGCACAAGCCGCCCACACTGAGGCTTTGAAAAAGGCGCTGGATGTTGAGAAGAAGAAACAGCAGGAACTTGACCATACTATCGCGTCACTGCAGTCAGAAAAAGAGGCATTGGTTGAGAAATTGCGCCTGACCGAGGTTGAGTGGCAAGAGAAGCTAGACCGAGCATTAGAACGTGGTCGGAATACTGAAGAAGAGTTAAAACTAGAGCTGAGAGCGGCAGAGGGCAAACTCGAGGCAATGAGAGTGGCGGCCGAGGAGGCTTCTGCAGGATCAGGTGGTGACATCAAGTTGATACGACATATTGAAACCCTCCAATCGCAGTATGCATCAGCCAGCGAGAACTGGCAAGGTATAGAAACCTCACTCCTGACAAAGGCTGCCAGCCTTGAAAAGGAGAGGGACGAAGCACAACGGCGAGAGTCAGAAATGCGGAAGAAGGCTCGTGACGCGGTAAACCACACATTCTCGACAGCAAAAAGGGGGAACCATGGCTGACACCTTCACAGGCAACTCGGTACAAGCGTCTCGAAGATGAGCTTCAAGACGTCAGTCCAGCTCTCACAATCGCTCGGCAGGAGCTCGAGACATGTCGTGAAGAGCTTGCTGCCCTCAGAATCCAACACAAGAGCGCGGAGACGGCGCTTGAACAGGCACGAAACGAGCTCGAGAAGCAACAGCGAGCGGCGAGTAGGGAGGTGTCCGCTGAAGCCGAACGAAGGCAATGGGCAGACGACGTTGCTACAAGCACGCCCAAGTCTCAGAGCAGACCCGATTCCCCATTACTCTCTGTTGCCCGGACCTTTAGCTCGGACTTCATCGGGCTTCCTGTACCAGCAAGACAGCCTCGCCGAGTTCCCACACCGGGAAGCCAAACCGACAGCGCCGGCGATGGCTTCTTCTTTGGCCGAAGAATGTCCAGTCAACCTCCTCGCCCTAGTGCTTTGTCCACCGCCGGGCATGCGATACCTCCTCCACCCCCTTTCTCGCCTTTTGAGCCACCTACTGAGTCACCGCGCGCTGCATCACCGCCACCAGATCGTGACGATGGTCTAGATGACGGCGACCCTTCATCTCCCCGCAACGTTGCGCAAGACATGATTTCGGTATCGACAGTTGGGGCTGGTCCTTCCGTTCAACTCGTTGAGAGAATGAGCGCGGCAATTCGTCGACTGGAAGCCGAGAAGGTGGCTGCCAAAGAAGAAATGGCTCGCGTATGCAGCCAGCGAGATGAAGCACGATCTGATATCGTGAACCTGATGACAGAGCTGGAAACACAAAAGAGCGCTTCAGCACGAGTAACAGAGCTAGAAGCAGAAGTGGAGAACATCAACTCGCGATACCAGACAACATTAGAGATGCTGGGCGAGAAGAGCGAGCTCGTTGAGGAGCTCAAAGCTGACGTTCAGGACGTCAAGGACATGTATCGCGAGTTGGTAGAACGGACCGTGATGAAGTAAGAAAAGAGAAGAACTTGTTTCTATTTCAGTTCGTCATCTTCTGCCTTGTTCTCTTTGCTTTCTCTTGTTCGCATCTTAGACTTGGGCAAGGTCATGATGTCTTGCACTTCTTTTTCTTTCTTCTAGCATGTATTCCTAGCTACCCCGACAACTCGATACCCTCACGCTCCGCACCTTGTAAAACATATCGGCGTACCTGTTGACAAAGAGACAGAGTTAGATGGGGGTTTATAGAGTGGTGCGACAAGAAGAGAGCCAAGAATTCCATTTTCATAGTATTCTAGAGATATACATACTTCCTTATCTGGTGCCAGATCAAGTGCTAGCTCACCCGCGCTGTTCTTGAGTGTGAAATCGGCGCCTTCTTTGAGGAGGGTAACAGCAGTGTCTCCTAGAGAGCAGGGGTTAGTGGCTTTTTGATGTCGGTGGCAAAGAGAGTCTTTTTACCATGCCCCTCTGCAATTGCATGATGAAGGGGAGTGTAACCCTCATTATCAGCAGGGTTTAGTGGACTTCTGTTTTTGAGAAGGAGAGTCACCATAGGCACAGAACCGACAGCGGCGGCGCGATGTATGGGATACTGGCCCCTACGATCGCGTACTCGGGTCGACGCGCCGTTGTCGATAAGAACACGGGCGATGTCGAGGTTCCTCTTGGAGGCGACAAAGTGAAGGGCAGTCTATATGTTGAGCTTAGATGGTTCTCCATTTAGAGGTAGCAACCGAAGCATTACCTGTCCAGCAGAGTCTTCGAGGTCCGATTAGTATATGTAGAGTAATAGACAGGGAGCAAGACTTACTCTTGAGGTTCACGTCCGCGTCTTTAGACATGATAAGTTTGACGACAGCTTCACCCTCTGGAACACTGGCTGAGATCATCAAAGGAGACCACCCACTTTCATCCTAGAATGCGTTGGTTATGATCCTGACGGCGAAGGAAGACTTGAATGAGAAGCCGCTGCTCACCTGGACATCAGCATCGAAACTGCGTTGGTTGGCTAACAACTGAACGATGTCCCAGTTGTTGGAAGAAGCTGCCCAGTGTATGGGATACCGACCATCATTATCCTTTCGTTGCGATAATTTTGGGTCTGACTGTTCAAGAGATAAATGTCTGATTTATATAATTATGAAGCTGAATGCTGACCTTGAGGAGCCCTTCAGCAACAGTTACTGTATTTGTCTATTAGTGATGATCCCAGTCATGCAGTTGCATAATTCAATAGGCATACCTCGCCCCTCGCGAGCAGCGGTATGAAGAGGGAACTTGTCATCGTTATCCATATTGACGACGAAAGTAATTCAAGCGGACAAGAAAAGGTAAAAGTTATTAATAAACTCCTGTCTAGATGGAGATACCAAACAGTTGCTGCTGATTAGTGTGACGGCCGGCTGTAGGTAGCTGATCTTACGTAGGTCCCTGTCAGAGCAGAAGAGAGCTAGCTTAGTACTAAAATCAGTAGGCATTCAGGGACTGAGTGGACTGCAAGGCACCTGAACCTCGTAGCCACATACATGTGGCGCTATGGCGTAAGAAAATCTAGCGCCACACACGGCTGCCAGCCTTCACACGCTTCCGTCGCAACTTTTAAGATATCCCAGATTATTATTATCAACTTCCCCAGCGATCATCCAGATCCTTTTGAGTCGCAAACACAACCGCACATACACCATGGAAACACCAGAAGTACCTCAAGATGCCCCTCAACTCAGTGCTCTCGCCGCGCAGAATGCGAACGTCTCGAGAACAGTCTACGCCCATGCATCCGAGCGATCGGCCACAAAGCGCCAGAAGCTAGACGACGCGTCCGAGGACCCCATCATCAAGAGACGGTTCCGTAACGAATATTCAGATGTAGAAACTCTACCGCCATCAATCACTGCGAAGCTTCCAACGAAACAGCCTGGAAAGAAGGCTTCTAAGGCTGGTGTGCCTGCTCGCCCAGCCATGAAGCTCCTTGAGGGCGCGCCTGGTTCAGGAAAGGCCTCTACTTCTGCGGCCAGGGACGAAAGTACACCACAGAACATGAGTCTTACGACAAGAGGAGTGCAAGGCCTTCAGCAGCAGAAGCCAGAATGGCACGCGCCTTGGAAGTTAATGAGGGTCATCTCTGGTCATCTCGGTTGGGTGCGCAGTCTGGCTGTTGAACCTGGCAACAAATGGTTTGCGAGCGGTGCAGGAGATCGAACTATCAAGATTTGGGACTTGGCGACGGGCTCGCTGAGATTGACTCTGACTGGACATATCAGCACTGTGCGCGGCCTTGCAGTGTCCCCTCGTCATCCTTATCTCTTCTCTTGTGGCGAAGATAAGATGGTCAAGTGCTGGGATCTCGAGACGAACAAAGTCATCCGTCACTACCACGGACATCTAAGTGGCGTCTATACTCTTGCCCTGCACCCTACCCTCGATGTTCTGGTCACTGGTGGTCGAGATGGTGTCGCCCGTGTCTGGGATATGCGAACCAGAAGCAACATTCACGTCCTCTCAGGTCACACACAGACGGTTTCCGATCTCGTTTGTCAAGAGGCTGACCCTCAAGTTATCACCGGATCTTTGGACTCGACAGTGCGACTCTGGGATCTCGCAGCGGGCAAGACCATGGGTGTACTAACCCATCACAAGAAGGGTGTTCGTGCCTTAGCAACACATCCATCAGAGTTCACGTTTGCTAGTGGTAGCACAGGAAGTGTCAAACAATGGAAGTGCCCTGAAGGCGCCTTCATGCAGAACTTCGAGGGCCACAATGCGATTATTAACACGATGAGTGTTAACGAGCAAAATGTCTTCTTTACGGGAGGTAAGTGATACGATTCAAGTATTTCGTCATATGTGTCTAATTTGAACTGTAGGCGATAATGGTTCCATGAGCTTTTGGGATTGGAAGACTGGTCATAGATTCCAGTCTCTTGATACCACAGCTCAACCTGGCTCTCTTGACGCCGAGGCAGGTATCATGAGTTCAACATTCGATCGCTCTGGTCTACGTCTGATCTGTGGCGAAGCTGATAAAACAAGTAAGTCTCAATTTCGCCTTGACATGCTCGTCTTTGCCTTGCTAATACATCTGTCCACAGTCAAAATCTGGAAGCAAGATGAAACAGCAACAGAAGAGTCACATCCCCTGGAATGGAAGCCAACTCTGGCCCGACGAAAGTTTTAAGGAGCAATCAGAGGTGGTATGTTTTTTTATTAAGGATAAATTGTCGCGGAACGCCGTTCTTCGGGTTCTATATTACAACTGTTATACACCGATACCCAAAGCCTTAAGGTCCCCGTCATCACGGAGGGCCATTTTTACTTCATCATCTGCAATAGAAAGACGGAGCTTACTGGACCTCTCTGCGCGCTGAGCTTCAAGGTTAATCAGGCCGGCCGCTACTAACTCGAGCGCCGCTGTGTGAATGTGACCGGGTCTGGTCATTGGGCGCTGACTTCCCATCTGCGTCCCCTTCAGGCCATTGTTGAGGACTGCCGCTACGCCTGGAAGTGCTGCTGGAGCTCGAAGGCAGGCACGGTGTATCTCGTCCAGGGTTTCCCCGAAGGTTGTCTCAGCAAGACCTGTTCTTCGAATACGCAGCAAAAGAGCTGCCATGACAAGCTTGGACATCAATGGAAGGCTGCGAAGGTGTTGTTGAATGGGATTAGTGGTTGCCTCGTTGATGGCCTTCTTGATTGTCGCAATAGTAACACGACCCGAACTTTTGGGTTGTGTTTGGCTGTCTCGCTTGCTTGGAGTTGCGGGATCACTAGGAGCATCGGCCTCGGCGAGCTCAACAGCTCGGCGGCAGATGTCAAGGGCTCTTCGGGCGTCACCACTTACTGCGGCTACTTTTCGACTAGCGAACTGTATAGCGTCAGGATCTACGATATTCCCAGGGACTCCTTCTAATCGTGACTGAATAATCTTCATCAGTTGTTCGTGATTGTAACCAGGGAACGTGATGCGCGTTAGACCTGTAGCTTTTAGTTAATATCACAGTAATGCGTATGATGGAGATAATACCTAATCGACTGCTAATCTTATTGCTGAGGGTTCTCTCGGGAAGATCCATGGTGTTTGCAACTGCAAGCACAATGAGACGGCTATGTCGCAAAGTCGGCCAGTTGAAGAAGTTGTACATGACGGCCTGGTTCTTGGTGACAAGCTGGTCAAGCTCATCCATGAGCACAACACAAGGAATTCGGCGAGGGCTGGGGTTGCTGAACTCTCTTTCCAGAAGATCAAGAGCCTGCGCTGGACTAGCTCTCTCTCCTTTAAGGGCTTCCCAGAGAAGGGTATATGATTGGTGAGGATCCGTGATTTTCATACCATTGATCTCGACGAATATGAAATCGTCCAGCTCATCAGAGCCTACGGCTTCTTCAAGCCTGGAGACTACCTCGCGGACCGTCGCTGTCTTTCCCGTTCCAGGTGTTCCTGAAATGTAAATACAGTTACCTGTACCATCTGAGATAGCCGCTTCGAGATGAGAGTAGACCAAAGAGAATTCTCCTTCCCGGCAAGGAAGACTGGTTGGAACTGAGGAGACATGCAAGCGAGATCGTGCTATCTGGAAAGGTGAAGATTCAACTTGACTAGGCGACAATTTGCGTGTGGCCAAGGGTGTAAACTCAAGTCTCTTGCTTGCACTCCTACGGAGAATTGTCAGTAACTAACGCCAAAGTGAGCAGCTTTTGGTCACCAACCTTTTGACACGAGAGCCTGGCGTCGCTTGACTCCTTCGTGAAGTTGGCGTAGCAGCTACCGAGCCTCGTCCTGTTTTTGTCGGGGTCTGTGGAATTTGAGGAGGATGATAAGTATCATCAGAAGGTGATGGGCTCCGTGCCTTTCGTCGACGTCGTGTGATTTTTGTACCAGTCTTGACTCTATCCATCAAAGCAAACAAATCATGCTCGCCCCCATATATTTCCTCCCATATAAACTCGTCTGTGTACGTAGCAGTGCGGGTATTGCAGCCTCGTCGACAGACAAAGACCTTACCGAAGTCTGGATCATTTCGAGGAACCTTGCCTTGAGGGTACTTCGTAAGGAAAGCATCTTGGGACATGATCTTAGCTTTGCCGTTGATGGATGCCAGGGGGTTGATATCCCATGATGGAGAGATATAGAGTTCATTCTAGAATCATTTTGATTAGTGTACGTTCAACGGCCTCGAGGAGTTTCAAAGCTAACTGGGTAGTAATCGGGTCGTTTCTTGTCCCTGCTTCGGATCTCCTTTTCACTCGAAAACCACATGAAGTTTGCTGCTTTCTCTCCTTCTCCATCGTCTTCAACAAACTCGCAAATCAAGGCGATCCAGGCCTCATTAGAGCCATCGGCTTTGAGCATGACAGTGTCTCCAATTCTACACTCAAATTGGCCAATCCTCGCCCCGACGATCCTGTCACCTGTCACCTTTCTTCGTTTTCTATCGCTCTGTGTTCCATCGCTTCGTTCTGTCGTTGAAGTAGAGTTATAGATCCATTCCCATGATGGTTCTCCGTCCGCAAGCTCATCGTCTGATAGATCATGGGGCATTTCAGACAGTTGACGTTTTGCCTTCTCTTCTGAAATGATGGGGGCCATTATTTCGTCGTTATTCGATGCTAAGTACTGCCGCAACGATTCACGCGTCGCGGGAGACGCGACGGAAGTAAAGAACAAATAATTGGTTGCTATGGGTTATGCATATACCGGGGATTTATAACTACTAGTCTACCTACCTACCTAAGGTACTTAGGTAGGTAGGGAATCTTTAGCACCTACCAGGCACTTGCGTACCTAGCTTAGATGGTCGAATTATTAGCCCACTTTAGTACCTTTGTGCAATAGAATTACATGTAAAAAGAAGCTTAATGAGATTCTTTAATCTAATGTATTAAGACACATTGACTAAATCTATAGTATCTACTTCAGAGCTCGCTATTAATTGACATAGGATTACGGGTGTATGGAAATGTGCAATTTGCTGTCTCTGTTTTTACCTCGAAGATGTTGTCAGAGCTTTGAAGTACGCCTTGTAGTTCGTATTAGTAGTATTTTTTAGTTTAATTTAAAAACATAAAATATTATAAGCATCTGTTAATTATGACCAGTTCTTATCTATTCTTGGCTCTTACAAATAATTACAGACTGAACTAATAACTTTTAAATATATGTAATCAATAGCCTTATTTAAATAGAGCTATAGAAGTTCTTGAAATGAATAGCTTATTCTAAAGTATTATTACTTACTTATATATTAGCTCAGACACCTCGTTGAATCGAGAGCAAGATTTTCCTGCTTAGACTACCTTACCTGTGCATTTACTTGATTATGTACACTTAGAATATTTGCTACCTAAGGTATAAGGTAGACAAACACCAAGGAGGCATAGAATGGCAAGTCCCCGAAAGCTGTGCAAGTGCCATGCAGGATAGCAAACGGGAAAGAGCAATCATGCTTTGCCGATAAACAGTACCAGCCCTTTGCCCTCAAACGAAATGCAATGAAATCGTTTGCTTCATAGGCAGCCGCCCGGCTGTGATTCACTGTTTCCATGCACCTCTTCTCCTTTCTTTCCATCCCCCCCCTCCGCCTTCTCAACTCTTCCCACCACAAGACTTTACCGTGACCACCAGTCTTTTAAACATTTCCGTGGCCGGCATCTCGCACACCTATCGATATTACCTATTCTTCACCCGCTCTTTCTTCTCTGTTCTCCCTTGAGTAAAGACTGCGCACTGCGGCATGTATCGGGGTAGGGGAAGAGAAGTGCCCTCGGGAAGAGGTGGCTTCATCCCTCCAACTGCTTTCTCAAGGACGCCAAAGTTTGCGTCGACGAAAAATGAGAAGTTGAAGACAGCTAAAAACATCTACCAAGGTAGAGAAGAAAAGATACGGCAAGCCGAGGATGCTGAACATCTTGGCCGTCCACCGCCAGAAAAAGATCTAGTACAGGTAAAGGCCGTCTCGAACTCACCTCTAAGTTTGAATGACAGCGTTTGACGAGACTTGCAGGCGACCCTTGTACTCCCTGGGCAACACTTTCTCCCCATTGCATTGGATGAGCCAGGAGCACTCGACGATATCCGCAGAAAGTATCGGGTCTACATCACGCGGGATGTACCAAACATTCTTGAGATTCACTGCGATTCTATCCATCGCCTTCAGCAGGCGTTTGAAGCAGTGAACTGGAGAATTCGGGACATGCGTCTATCTAACGACAGTTCTCCTGCGCGTTTCTTTGTACAAAAGCCAACTGAAGCGACTGTTACTGATATGATTCGATTGGAACTTGGAGCACGCCCATTCTTTCTTTCGAAAACCTCGAATCTTGTCACCAACACTTCTGCGATGGACGAACACTTGCCAAAACTAGCATCCGACCTGGCGTCCTCGGCAGAAGGCCTCATGGCACTCACCAAGACCATGGGCTTACGAGTCAATTTCGGGCATATTATTATTGCCAAGAGACCGAGAGGTACTGAAGACGAGATCACATACACCGATTTCGTCAGACTTATGAACATGTATCCCAGTCGTGGAGGAGCCTCGATTGAAACCAGGTGAGCAGACAATAGGCTCAAATTGGATCACTGTTCCTGACATGCATTAGACTTGAAGACGCTAACGAGGCGGAGCAGCTCTTGCAGTATATCTCACGCCCAGAGGCGGGCATCTGCAAGAACATAAAAGACATGAGGCGTGGTTGCGAGGTGGTTGTAATGGCCAATGGTCTACGAATCAAGACCGAGGCCGACTACGATCCTCAACTTATGCAACTGGCAATGGTCCACGCTACTAGGCCAGAGCCCCGGGCACGTTGGAGTTGGACGATTGCTGCTCCTGACATGTACGTCAATTATTCGAAAGAAGTCTCACTTACTCATGTCTTGTACTCACAGGGAACACGATTGGAATATTCGAATGGACGCTTGGGACAAAGTGGACGTTCCACCAGAGTTCAAAGATCTTGCAAAGAGGGTATCGGTTGTCTTCAAACCAGACGAGGGCACCATTCTCCCTTTGCCAGAAGTCAACACGAGTAAACTTGCGATCCCCGATGAGCAAATCACTGAAATTCGGGCAAGATCTTGGGCAATAGTTCCATTCAAAGAATCCGCCTATGTCCTCAAGATTAACATCACCAAGACTCTAAAGGGACCTCGCACGATTGGAGAGCAAAATATTACTTGGGGGGTTGAATTATACGCTCTCCACTGGGAAGAAAGTGTGAATCACGCCAGTGGTGGCCGAAAGTACTGGGGGAAGGGCCTCGAGAATATATGGGAGGAGGGTGATGATCTCCAGTCGAGGCTCGGGTGCTTCTTGCGGACCATATTGGAGGTCCAAACCCTCCTGAACAGGGTGCATGCTGATACTGCCTCGCCATAGCGGGCACGCAAAGGCGATGCTGTGTCGCCTGGGAGATCACCGTAAGATCCCTACTGAATTGGCGTCTGGCTAATCTTCGTTGTACCCAGAATATGGGACGTTTTTAATTCATTCTTTTAGGCCTGTTGATCACCTTGCCCTTGGCCAGCCATGATCTTTTGCCTCAAAACTGTTAGGGGTCATATTAGCCTTGCTCTTAGTAGAGGATGCGTGCCCGAGAAAAACAGACCTTCCTCAATCGTTCGTGCGTTAGTCTGCTTCCGTTGGACAATGACCTCGAGGTCTTTCAGGTTATTTCCCAGCTCCTCAACCTTGGTCTCGTAGAACTTTTCGGCCGACTTGAGTTTCTGTATGACGGTCAATCAGGGAGCAGCTCCGAGGATGCCAAGATCGCGTACCTTTTCAACCAAGAAGCCAGTGCCTACATCCACCAATACAGTATCGGCATCTGTGAGCTCTCCGCGGACGTAGAGTGAGTTGGTGAGGGGAACCAGTATAGAGTTGGCTCCTAGAGCATGTCAGGTGTTGTTCGGAAAGCGAGATTGTGCGTTGGGTGGGGGGATCGGCTAAGCAGGCAAACTATGTACCTTTGGGAGCGGCAGCACGACTTTTAACGCATCGGAGGCAGTCTTTAAACTTGTTCTGGGCGGCATGGAGCTGCGCGAACGACGTCGTCAAGTGCTCGAGCTCTTCATCAAGCTGCTTCTTGACTTGGGCGAGCTGCTGGGGCTCTAGTGTATCGAGGTTAACTGCAGCACAAGTAGGTCAGCAAATGGGAACTCAGAATGAATTATAGGTAGTAGGTTTACTTGTTTCTTGTCTTCCAGTCATTTTTGGCGTATCGTCGGCGTCGGCGGATAGGTTGTAGTTGTCGTAAGTGAATTACTTCGTTTGAATGCCCCTCCAGCGTCTCGCTTCAGGAATAAAACGTGGGGTTGTTGGATTCTACTAACGGGGGTGCTATAGGCACTGTCGCCTATCTGCCTGGGCACTTACGAACCAACCTACCTACATTATAATCCAATTAGTAGCCCCCGTTCCCCCCCAGATACTTGATTTTCTACTTTATGAGATGAATATTTTCTTTCTTTTCTCTTTTGTCTGATGTTATCTATCTATATTTGTATGAAGCGTGCTTTATTTAATATACATTCGCCTTGAAAGTTGTAGCTATGTTATAATAAAACGGCCCCCTTCCTTACAACTGATCCAACAAATTTGAGATAAACTCTGGCAGAGCATCAAGCTTTACAGTTTCCTTGATCGAGAGTCGTCTACATTGAACTTCGCAAGTCCCATTTTCTTTGTAGGATCTTCCTATAATGACCAAAACAGGAAAGCCCACCATATCGGCATCTTTCATCTTCCAGACAAATGATCGCTGGCGATCATCGAGAACAACGTCAAAGCTATTACGCGAGTTGTCGCCCGCGGCAAGTAAATCGTAAATTCTCAGAGAGTCTTCGGCTAGGTCTGATGCAGGTATGATCGCAACCTCAAACGGCGCAATGGCTCGGGGCCAATTCAGTCCTTGCTCGTCTGCGAGAATCTCAGCAACAGCACCAAAGATTCTCGAAACGCCAACACCATGACAGCCCATTTGAATAGGTATACGACTCCCTGGAATCAGTCCCTCTTCTGCAGCTGCCGCCGGAATCCCCGAGCGTGGTAGAGTGACACAGGCATCGAATGGTACTGAGTAACGAGTTCCAAGCTGGAATGTGTGGCCACACTCTAAAGCACGATGGAGTTTTAATACGCCCTCTTCACATCGAGGGCAGGCATCGCCATCAGTGATACGTGCCAGATTCAGTCCGCCACCAGAGGCTGTGCTGTCAATTGTTGAATACTCAACTTGGTATGGTTGAAGATCTTCGGGTAGCAATGGTAACTGATCGCGAACACTCTCAAACATTGGCGCAAGTCTTCCATCAATAACATTGATCACTTGTGTCGTTCCGCTCTTCAATGATTCTCCCCACAGTGGTAAAGGATCCTCAATGGTGGTGTCCAGCTCAGAAACAGCTGATTTGACGGCATGAAGACTGAGACCGCTTTCTGCAGAGGCCTCCGATAATCGAGGATACCAAACGTTGATCAAGGCTTTTCGATCTTTCGAAATACCTCGCCAAACACGAAACTGGGACGCCGAAGTGTTCTCTGAACCATCGTTTGCTGTAGAGGGGGGTCGGAGAGCAGCGACTTCGTCATTGGCCGTATAGCCACAAGAGCCACAATTTATCACGGTATCTTCTCCAACAGGACTTGGCAAGTGATATTCATGGCTTAGGTCACCGCCCATATCACCAGAGCTTGCCTCGGCCACAAGATAGGGGAGTTTCAGCTCATCAAAGAAGGCGCGGTATGCTGCAGATACTTGACGATAAGTCTCCACAGCTTCAAGTGTTGTGAGATCGAAAGTGTAGAGATCCTTCATGAGGAACTCTCGTGAGCGTAGAAGACCGTGGCGAGGGCGACGCTCATCACGGTATTTTCGGGCTGGGAAACGTCAGTAGGTTGAGGGTCAATGTTGAAGCTGGAAATGCGAACTGATTTGGTACAGTCGAATAGGAAGGTCCTTATAGGAATTGACGATTCCAGCGACAAGTGCAGTGATCTCCTCCTCATGTGTGGGTGAGAGTATCAGTGGAGTCTCTTTACGATCTTTGAGTCGAAAGAGCTGAACGAGTCAGCCCATGCCGCTTCATCATAGATTCAGACTCTTACCTCTGGCGCAACAGAGTCAAGGCGATCACTCCTTCGCCACAGTTCTTCTGATGAAATGGTTGACAGGGATAATCTTGATGCACCTGCGAATGATGTTTCAGTGATATGTGCTAAGTTGGTGGCATCGTACGGACCAACTGAGTGCATATGTTTATCGATCAACTTTTCTATCTTATCCTGAACACGAAGGCCCATGGGAAGGAGCTGGAAAATTCCAGAGTGGGCCTGCTGATGTATTAATACCCAAGTCAATCATTTGGCGACTGAGGTTGAGCTACCTGGCGGAGGAAACCACCGCGAACAAGTTTTCCGTGGCCGACTACAATTTGATTAGCTCGTAAATCAGATTCAATATAAATAATATAACCTCACTCTCATCTTCATTGGCAGTAATACCCCCAGTTGGCACCCATATTGTCGATAGGGTGGACCGTTGCGAGTCGGCTTTTGCTAGACCTGTGAGTGACAAGGCGCGCTGCTGCACACCCCAAGGACCCCTTTGGATAACAGAGCCGCCTAGGCGCGCAATCCTTGGTCGAATCATGGTTTTTAAAGCTGAGACAATACCAGCTTTCAACACATGCAACTCTTGTGAGATCCGAGGCCCTCTTTTGATAGGATTTCGAGGGTCGGAAGACTTTCCGTCTACCTAAGGTCTCTAATTGATATAAAGTTAGTCATCCTGCATTAGCGCCTGTAGGCGCGTTAGACGCCCGGAAGGTGGAGGTGGGGCACTTGGAAAAATGCGACGCCAGAAAAAAAAAGTTGGAGGTCCCCGAAATCCATTTCCATTTAAGAGTTTCCATCTGAGATTTTCAATCCGCAAATCGGCTTTGATAAGATGGCGAAGCCTGCTAAGAAATCGAAAGGCAAAGGGCCTCGCAGCTCTTCAAAGGGTCCAAGCTTCGACAATAGCGCATTGGATAATCTGACGTCTACAATCGACAAGAAGCTTGGCAAGCGAAAACAACCTCCAACTAAGGCCAACGGCGACCAACATCAAAAGAGACAGCGAAATTCCGAGGGCTCATCTAGTGAGAAGAGCGGAAAGATTGATGAGAAGACTCTATTGGAAGAGATTAGGGCTCTTGGCGGCGATGAGAGCGACCTGGCGCTTATTCAGGATATTGACTCTGACGACGAAGAGTACGCCCAGGGCCCCAAGGATTCTAAAGCTATCGATAAGAGCCTTAAGGATGAGCTGGCCGCTTTCTCCAAACAACTTGGATTTACAGAGCTTGAAATGAGCGAAGCCAGCGACCAAGACGATGAGGGAGAGGAGGACGAGGATGAGGGCGACAACGATGCTGAAGATGACGAAGTCGAGGGTGCCGATGACGATGATAGCGAAGAAGAACAGGCCGCGGTATCCAAGGAACCTACCCAAAAGAAAAGCAACATGGTAGGCTGAACGATTTCTAGGGTGGATTGTCTGACCACTAACAGTAAGACAGGCCTTCGAGCCCCGAGCAGACTGGCATGATTCTGAGCTACGCAAACTCCCCGCACCGACTACTGATGAGCCCAACCCACCGAGAGCTGCTCTGGATGCTCTGAAACAGCACGCTCAGACGCTCCTTGAGGAGGATGCAACCAAATATAGAACCAGCGTCTTTGCTCAGTCTTCTCACAAGTTCTTGTCAACAATCATGACTTCAGGTACACTTAGTGATAAGGTCTCTGCTCTCACTCTTGCCGTTCAAGAGTCTCCGGTGCACAACATCAGAGCTTTTGATGCTCTTATGAGCCTGGCCTCCAAGAAAAGTCGAGGACAAGCCCTTGGTGCCATTGGCGCGCTCGTTGATTTGCTTGGTCCCGGCACATTGCTCCCTGCTGACCGCCGCCTTCGAGCTTTCCACGATCAGCCAGGGCTTGTTGGAACTTTGCAGCGACATCCTGGAAAGCCTTGGGCCCCTGGCAACGCGCTGCCTGGCAAGATCACACCCGCCCACCTGATCGCTTGGATTTATGAGGACTGGCTTAAGGCGACTTACTTCCGGCTCATTCAACTTCTCGAATCCTGGTGCTCGGATGAGATCGAGTATTCACGTACCCGAGCGCTCGACTTTGTCTATGGCCTCCTCAAGGAGAAGCCTGAGCAAGAATCCAATCTCCTTAGATTGCTTGTCAATAAGCTGGGTGATCGAGACCGCAAGATCTCTTCTCGAGCATCGTACCTCATTCTCCAGCTGCAGAATTCACATCCTGGAATGAAGCCTATCATCGTCCGAACTATCGAGCAGGATATCCTTCTGCACCCAACTCAGGACCACCGATCAAAGTACTATGCCATCAACACCCTGAACCAGACCATACTAAGCAACAAGGAGCCTTCATTGGCCGAGGCCCTGATGCGGATTTACTTCGACCTTTTTACTATCATCTTAAAAACTGGGAGTCTAGGTATTTCTGCGCCAACGGACTCGAAATCGGCCAAAGACGACGATAACAAAGATGACGTTAAACGAAATATTGGACGGCGACCTCAAAGGCCGCGAGGCGGTAAGCCAGCGAAGCCCTCAGCTTCTGAGCCTGAGACTGAGGCTGCCGATAAGCTTGTATCTGCGATCTTGACTGGTGTCAACCGCGCAGCTCCATTCATGGTTGGCAATGATGCTATGTATGTGTGACTGTTTCTTTGAACATGTTTTGTCGCACACATAATACTGACACTCTAATAGCATGGAATCTCACCTAGACACACTCTTCAAGATTGCTCACTCAGGCAACTTCAACACTGGAATCCAGGCACTTCTCTTGATCCAACAAATATCTTCGTCACGAAGTCTCGCAAACGACAGGTTCTATAGGACCTTGTACGAGTCCCTACTTGACCCTCGACTGGTAAACTCCTCAAAGCAGGCACTTTACTTGAACCTTCTCCTGCGCGCGCTCAAGAACGATGTTGACAGTCGCCGAGTCAAGGCTTTTGCCAAGCGTATGCTCCAGATTTCTGGTCTTCATCAACCCTCATTTACGTGTGGACTTCTCTACCTTGTCGGGCACCTACGCGAGAGTTTCCCCGATCTTTCGACTTTACTGGAAGAGCCTGAGGAGTCTATTTTTGACGATGAGCCCGCGAATGAGAAGCAAAGATACGATGGCCGCAAGAGAGATCCCGAGTATAGCAACGCCAATCGCAGTTGCTTATGGGAGACGGTAAGTTACAGAGTGTTGTTTCAACTCAACACCATCATGCTGACTATTTTCAGATTCCTCTTCAGTGTCACTACCACCCTTCGGTTACAGTATATGCGATGTCGATATTGGAGCGCAATAAGAAGTCACTGAAGCCGGACCTTGATAGCCATTCACTCATTCGCTTCTTAGACAAGTTCGTCTACCGAAACGCCAAGGTCACCGATTCATCCAAGGGTGTGTCCATCATGCAGCCTTTACGAGCTACCAAGGATGCTGGCGATATCTGGCTCGGCAGCCGTGGAGCTGGAGGAGCCGTGACTTCTGTGAACTCATCTGCATTCTGGAAGAAGAAAGCGGAAGATGTTCCTGCGGAGGATATCTTCTTCCACCAGTACTTCCAGCAGGTTGACAAGGAGGGCAAGGAGACCAAGAAGAATGCTCAGGCCGCAGGCAACGTCGAATCTGACGATGAGCAAGAGGACGAAGTCTGGAAGGCACTGGTGTCGACACAGCCTGGCGTTGATCCTGATGACGAGGGCTCTGATGTTGGCTTCGACCTCGACGACTCAGATATGGCATCAGACGACGACTCGCAGGCATTATCCTTGGATGGCGAGCTGGGTGAGGATGACGACGACGACATGAGTGTGGATATCGAGGGATCTGACGAGGAGATGGGCGGTGCTTTGATCAGCGAAGATGAGGAGGGATTCGAGGTCAAGGAGGCAGCAAGCGAGAAGCCAAAGTCGAAGCGCAGAAAGCTCAAGGATCTCCCTATGTTCGCCTCAGTGGACGACTACGCCGAGCTCTTGGCTGGAGAGGAGGATATGTAGGAGAGCTTATCAACTGTGATGACAGGATGAAGCTGAACCCACGTTTTAATATTTTGGCCGTACAATACACATGTTGGTGCAGGAGTCAAAAAAGCACATCTGAGAATAGGCCCACTGGCATGTTAGACAATATGCCATATAAAATACATTTCTCATTGTTTCCCTCAATTAAGTATCAAACCACTCAAGCTCGTCGTTCTTAGTGAAAATGGCCCTATAGGCCTTTCCACCACTTGAATCCTCGCGCTCCTCGGTGTGAATGCTATGGAGCTTGGGAGGCTCATCCCCACCACCGATGAAGACACGGAAGTGAATATAAGATGGGCCTGAAGGGTCGGGCATAGCGGGGATGCGAAGCTTGCCAAACAGATGAATGCCATAGGCGGATGTAGCAACGCGAACAGATTCAAAGTCGTCTGCGCTAAAACCGACGAGGTCTTGATCTGAGAGGTGTTCCTATATTCTGTTAGCCATTGGAAAACAAGAAACGGTCGATTGAACTTGCAGCCGCTGCAAAGTACTCTGGTTCGTGCTCTAAGGAGGAGACTTTAGCTTTGGATCTACTGCGAGGTAGGTTTATATCGACTCACTATTGTAGTCGTGGCGGAGGTGAACAAGAGTCTTCTTGAGCTCAGGGAGGATTTGTTCAAAGGCTGTAATGGAGTCCTCCTTGGGAGGGTGAATAGGTCCCAGATCGACAGTTTCAGCGGTCGCCTAGATTAAACAGTCAATATTGAGTTTGCGAGCCAAGTCCCATAGTCTCACCATTGTAAGTAAAGTACCTAGTTAGATCTAAGTGAATTTAGAGTGGATAATGGGTGAGGAACTCAAAGCAACAGAAAACGGAAATGCAACACTTTAAATACTATCAAGTGTAGCCAGGTTATACAAGGAATAAAACGCACAAGCACGCATGGCGTCAGTGGCCTTTGATCGTCTCCTACAAATCATGTCTCACAAGCTCGTCGAGCGATTCTGGTTGGATGAGACTCACGTCACAGGTGCTAGGGGTCCTACCACATGGCTGGCAGTTGGACATCTTCACGCGATTATCAGGGTTGGGCCAACTTGGCGCATTTACTATAAGCCACAGTGGCTTTCCACATTACCCAGGAATAACGGCAGCTAACGTTTAAGTGCATAAACGCCGAGGCCAACCCTCCTATCCGAGGCAAAGCGGAAACGCCGATAATCAAGACAACTTTAGCTCTAATCAAAAGCCGAAGGCGGCGCATTCCCAACGCTCTCTCTTTTTTTTTTTTTTTTATAAATCTTTGTTTTCGCCTTTCTTTTGTTAACAGAGTGCGCTTTCTAAAACAAAAAAGTCGCCATGTTTTGCAAACAATTTGGTCTTAATGGACGTCTTGCAACGCAAGCTTGCAAACGATTTGCTCGTCCTGCGCAGTCCCGCAGTTATGCGACTGGAGGTATGCTTGCCCCCCTCAGCACTTACACACGCAATATATACTGACAAATCTCACTTATAGCAGCCACAGCAGCCGCTGGCGGCGCTTTCAAGAGAGCAGCAGGTATGTTGCTCGCTGGCGTAGGCGCAAGCACAGCAGGCGGTTTCGGAACATGGTACACGATGCATTCGAACGGAATGGGCTTTCACTCGGACGAAGAGAGCCTGCGACGCTTCGTCGCTAACCACGAAGAGGCGAGGATGGTGGAAGAGACGATCAACAAACACCCACTCGTTGCAGAGCTGCGCGCCAACCCCGAACTCACCGAATCACGACCGCACATGAAAATGCCCGGCTCATACCGAAGTCGGAGCCTGACCGGAGGAGCGCTCATCGGCGAGGGGAAAATGCCAGTACCACCGTACGCCTGGATGGCGCCCCAGGGCAAGCAACTTGTGTCTATAGCATATGTCGGTGACGACCTGTGCGGCCACCCTGGCATCGTACATGGTGGTTTCCTGGCGACTATGCTGGATGAGGGTCTCGGACGTTGCTCTTTCGGTGCGCTGCCTCATAACATCGCAGTAACTGCAAACCTCAATGTGGACTATCGCAAACCCACACCAGCAGGAAGCTTTCTGGTCCTCCGAGCGGAGACATATAAGGTGGAAGGCCGCAAGGCTTGGGTTAGGGGCCATATCGAATTACTGGCTGAGCCAGGCGAGAAGCCAACGATAGTGGCCGAAGCGAAAGCACTATTCATATCGCCCAAGTATGCTGCGGTAAGTGATCCATATCTTGTGACACTCATGTCTCAGAAATGTGCTAATGCGTTCTTATAGATGATGCCTAAAATTGGTTAAACGAGTAGACGACACATGTTATGACAACTTTTCAGAGCGAGCGACGGGAGTGACGGGTGCATTTAAATGGTTTAGAGTTGCGGTAGACGAGAGACCTCGCAGTGGCAGGTGAAATGATAGAATGCGGGCATTTTACAAGAACATATTCTAATTACATATAGAGCGTTATCTTTGGGAAACTCGGATACTAGAGCGTGGCCTATTGATTTTCTGCCATATATTATACATGAACAAATAATTTCAAATTCTCCATTTAAAGTTGAGGTTGTTTTTTCCTGCAGATTCTCCTTCGCGGGGCCGACTTCCGGCGCATTGGACAGCCACCGTGGAGACGCTGGCCACTTAACGAACAGGCTTGTATAGAAAGGGTCAAGGCCTCTGATGTCGCCATCCTCAACATTAGTTCTTATAGGCTGGCCATGGTTTTATAAAGTTGGGTCTTCGGGGAGTCTGTAGCAGAGGCTCCTGCCGCCCGATGGCCCGATCACGACATCGCGAGGGCAAGTTGCGGGCAGTTACTACATCACATACCGAGAGCGAATCATGTAAACGTACAGAAAGATGGTATAAAATTTTTATCACTCAGGTCGTGGGGAGGTCGCGATTGGCGTCAGAAATCACTATTATTAGGTATAGTAGGTAGGCACAGGTAGGTCGGACCTGTTGCCTTCCTACTTCCGAGTATCTACATAGACTGCCATCCTCATCCTTCTCAAACAATTTTTTCTCCCTTTCTTCACTGTCTGATACCATATCTCAAGATACACTATTTACAAAATGGCTACGTAAGTCAAAAACGAACCACTCACTGTGCATACTACTTTACCCTGGCTATACCTATATGGCTTCTGAGCCTTCCTCCAAGTCACTAAATCATTACCCCGCCATCCATCTCTACACATCCCACTTCAACGCAAGAGGCATTGCTAACTGATGACGCCCTTCACAGCAACATTACTTGGCACCCTTCCTTATCGCGCAAGGAGCGCAACGAGACCCGGGGCCAGCGCGGTCTCACCATCTGGCTGACTGGTCTCTCTGCTTCTGGCAAGTCCACTGTCGCCACTGCGCTTGAGCAGCATCTCCTTCACCTTGGTGTCGCTGCCTACCGTCTCGACGGCGACAATGTCCGCTTCGGACTGAACAAGGACCTTGGCTTCTCCGAGGCTGACCGAAACGAGAACATTCGCCGCATCTCCGAAGTCGCCAAGCTCTTTGCGGACTCTTCCACCATCGCCATCACCTCTTTTATCTCTCCCTACCGAGCGGATCGCAAGGTCGCCCGTGATCTGCACGAGCAGGCCACGCAGGGTGGCGATGAGCCCATTCCCTTCGTCGAAGTCTACGTTGATGTGCCCCTCGAAGTTGCCGAGCAGCGTGATCCCAAGGGTCTATACAAGAAGGCTCGCGCTGGTGAGATCAAGGATTTCACTGGCATTTCTGCTCCTTACGAGGAGCCTGAGAATGCTGAGATCACTATCAAAACTCACGAGAACTCAGTTGAGGAGTGTGTTGCTCAGATTGTTCAGTGGCTCAATGAGAAGGGCTATCTCAACAAGAAATAAGCATATATAGATGATGATTGTGTTTCGCAGTTAAAAAAAGATAGATCGGATATTACTGCCATGCGACCCCGGCCGTCGTCACTTATAGGCATGATGATAGGGTAGAATATAGGCGTTTCTTGCATGCATGCGACTTGTTCTATCGTTACTCTCTCACAACTTGCTTTCCTCCTCCTTAACTTCTAGCTGTGCCAGTCGCTAAGGAAACTCTATCTCGTAGTATACGTATGCCGTGTATTCGTGTCCCTCGCCAGTTTGAAAACCAGCAGCTGCCATCTCTGAGCTCAGCGCAGCGTCGTCCTTGGTAATCTTGCCTCGCTTGTCTCGTCCAAAAGCATTGCCTCCGAGGAACGAGTAGTTTGAGTCCAGAGCAGTCTTAACCTTGGGCGCCAGCTTGGATGTAGTCTGCAAATTTAATCAGTGATGTGGGTTGGGATGCGGCCGATTGACTCACCTTGACCAAGACCGATACGTAGTCCAGAGGCAGGCCATAGCGAAGAACTGCCTCAACAAAGACCCGCAATGTCATAACATGTATCCAGATCATGACACTTTCGCTCCATCCCGTGCGTCCCATACGCAGAGCCTCACCACAAACCTTGCGCTCTTCATTGGTGACTCGATCGAGCTCCCTTTGCTCTTCTTGTCGACCGCCTTCAACGTACTTGTACTGACGGGGAGTCCACTTTTGTTCTCGGCACTTGGCGAGGAACTCGGCGCTGTGTTTCTTAAATGTCGCCACTGCAAAGAGAACAAACTCGTCGTCCTTGGCCACCTCGATAGCCGAGCGAGGCACAACCATGGGTGATATTGTCTCATACTCCTTGATGAAATCCTTCTTTGCATTACCGGGGACAACAATGAGATGTGTCTCAATGTACTCTGAATCCTGGACAAGAAGTTTCGGGTCGACGATGGGGGTCAAGGACTTGGTAGAAAGGTTGCCGCTGATTGAGACTGTTAATAATCCTGACGAGGGTGGTATTTTGATCAGCGACAAGTACTTACGTTTGGCGGCGCTGCAGAGCCGCAAGGTTTGTCTTGACAGAGTTATACTGATTGAACTTTGTCTTAACGTCGGTATCAACGTTGGCTAATTCCTGAGGGGCATGTTAGTCGAAGCTCAGGACTGAGGTTGGTGTATGAACGCGCCTTTTGCAAAGTACTAATCAGCTCTGCAAGGGACTTGTCGGCTCGATATCGGATTTTGTTCCAACTGAAAGTGCTCACGTACTGATCGGTGGGTTCTGGTGTGAGCGATTAGCGACTGTCCGGCCTCAACCAAGTGTGCGCGACTGACTATCGTTGACCATCTTATACTGGGCGATACGATCTTCGTCACCCTCGAGCACATTCTTCAGAGAGTCGGCGACCTTGGACACAACAGCCTGGCATGACGCTTCGAGCTTGGTAAGCTCATCTGCCTGTTGCACAAGAGCATCGAGAGTGCCGATCTTGAAATCGGGGATGTTGAAAGGCAAAACGGATCCATTGTCGGAGGAGATGGTCCCGCGCAGTGATGAAATGGCATCATCGCGATCGCTCGTGTCAAAGACGCCCTGGGGCAAAGATAGGAATGCGTATTTCGTCGACATTATAGCAAGCTCGAGCTACAAGGTGTTCGATGGATGAATTGTGTCGAGAATATCTACAAGAAAGGCTGCGGAGTTGATGGATGTGACGCCAGCGAAGAACTCGGGCAGCTCCACTCGGTGAGAGCTATAGCGTTTAATCGCAGTCAAGCTCACAAGTTCATAGATAAATGACTCTCCGTTGAGGTCTTGCTGATGAAAGGGATAGAACGAGGGCGAGGTTGAGTCGAGTCGAGTCGTATCGCGTTACGTTGCGTTTATAGGGCAAGGAAGTGTTGCTGGAGTTGCTAGCACTACAGTACCTAGGGTAATACCAGGCAGTGGGAGCTTCCATGAGGTAAGGTAAGTAGCAGTTGACTTTGGGATCAGGGGGGCCTATGGGTCTGTGGCTAGTGAGTTAGGTATGACGAGTGCTTGTGGCTGCCCGCCTCGATAGTTTCATGTTGTGTTCGAAAATACGTCCCTAAGTTGAAGCAAATACGTTCATTTAGAACTTGGTAGAATAGATACCAAAGAAGGAGAACGAGTCGATGGATATATCGCATCATTTATTTATAAGCCCCGAAGGTCGTCGCCATCAACAGCATCCAACTCGTATCGTAGTAAAGAGCACCTAGGTCTAGTTCAAAACGGGAAGACAAATATGGTCGCGAATCATTGAGTGCATGCCGCATCTGATGTTCATGGCGTCCCCCACTATGATGGGACGCACTTCGATCACGGGGGTTGTAGACTACAAGTACAGCGCAGACCAGGCAAGTAGATGATATCCAGTCGCTAACACGGGAATTCAAGCCACGACAGCACCACAAACCTCAATATAAGAACCATTGACTTGCGCATCATCCAAGTCGCATGAGCCTGGCGCAAATGATTTTTGCCCGAAAAGGTCACTGTGAGCTCGCTATTGAGGTCAATAGCGTATTATGACCCAGTCCCAACGCCATGACCTCAGAAGTACGTACGTGTTGTTCAAAACAATCCGTCGAATATAGTAGATACATAGGCTCACAGGCAATTCGCAGCGCCCCAACGCGCCATTATGGTCGATTCGACAATCCGCACTCCCGACAATTCTCATGCCCTGAGCCCCAGCCCCAGTGCCTCGTCCGCTACACCGTTAGCAGGCGCTGTGACACCTGCACAAAGAGCCACCAGGTCGGGTTGGCGAGTAGGCAATGTCTTGTTTGATCTCCAAATGAATCCATTCCATGCTCCAGATCATGGAACAACTGTCTCATCTAGCCCCGGTCTGCCGCAAGAGGACAAAATGCCGGCTGCCGGCCTCAACCCATATCGCGATGGTCGTATCAGGACCGCGGTGCCCAGCAAGCTTAAAGGCAAGACGAATATGAAGCAAGGTAACTTCAGTGTTATGCAGATGCACGTCCAGAAGCCGCAAATGACGGAGCGCGACCTTGCGGCCAAGCGTACAAGTGAAAGAACTGCTGCTGCTGCCAAACTTGCAAGTGCTCAAGGGTATCGCCATCCAAGGAGACCGCGGCTACCACATGCAGCGGCTGCTCGTACTCCTTCACAATCTCTCTCAGATATCCCTTTGGTGATCACAGACATTTCCAGGCCAGTTGCTCAGCCTGCACCCCTCGAGACGACTGTGTCATATGAAGAACGGCGAGCAGAGGGGGGGACTACTGCACAAGACGCCAGCACAGGGCTTGAAGAGGATCCATTCACAGAAGCAGATGGTATGGGAAATATTGAAACAGAAATCCCAGAAGAATCAACTAAAGGAGAGATCGCACCCAAGGTCAATCACGAACAAGAGGACGGTCCATTTATAGACGCGAACTTGAAACATGATATCAGCATGGACCCGTCGAACGAACTGCTCACGCCAGCAGATCCCACACGAGATCCTAACAGAGAACAGCCTACCGGTACTAAGCCCCCGACAACAACTCTTCCACCGGAAGAGGTCAAAGCTGAGCAATATCGACTTCTTGAACTCTTACGAAAACTGCGCCCAAATACAGTCGTTGAAACGCTTTGCAGCGCCCTTATCCAGTTCGGCGGTAACACTGGCTACCTCCCGTCTCCTGATGGGGAGTCCTCTGAAAGTGGTTCAAAGTACGGCTCGGGTGATCTCTTTGTTTCATGGATTTCGGAAATTTTCCCTCCAAACTTTGCTGAAGACAGCACTGCGAAAAGGCCATCGAAACCCTCAACAGGGAGGCCACGGGGCAGGCCAAAAGGGAGTACGAAAAAGCTGGTACAGGCACATTCGCATCTTATGCGTACTGCCTTCGTTCCCCTGGCTATGAGACCCGATGAAACGAATGGCAGGCAACTTTCGACACTTATCGAAGGTTCGGGTGCACCACGAGAGTCTGATGCAAATAATCGAGGCTCAGATATGCCTCTACCACGTGCTTCCAACAATCAAAGCTCGAATAAGCTACTGCCCCGTGTTGATAAGGACCAAATTTCTATAGCTGCTGCTTCTTCAAGTATGCCGAAATTGATGAATGTTTCAGGGGAGGCCGAAAGAAGCGCCTCACGTCCATCGATTGCACCGGCTAAATCAACTAGCACATCTGCACTGGTCGTGCCAAATTCTTCGGTTACAACGTCAAGGCGCACGAAGAGTACAGGCAGGCCTCGTGGCCGACCAAGGGGATCAAGGAACAAACCCAGGTTACCGCCTGCCAGGCCTGCTTCATCCTCATTTAATTTATCAGACTCTCATCTCAGGGAGTCAAGGCCTCAATCTGATGAGCGAACCACAAAGGAAATCACGTACAACTCCTTAATATCCACGCCGGGTTCGAACTACGTGACCGAGCCAGCCAGTGCTCTTCGAACCATCTTCCCTTTCCCGGGGTTGCCTGATACTCCTGGAGCAGCGGCCAGCAAAACACAAGGTGGCGCAACTGGCTCGCCTGGTTGTACGCAAGAGAACAAAGCACGAACAGCCGGTGGCAGTTCCGTTATCATACAAGAACCTCGGGGGCCAAAGAGCCACGACCAAGACGCTGCCCAAGTTTCTTCGAAGAAGAGGAAGAATTCACAACAAGGTCCGCGAACGAACACTCGATTGATCGATGCCCCACAAGCATCCCTCAGGACTGCACAATTAGCCACCAATTATCCTCATGAGAAACAAGTCAAGCGTATTTGTGTGTCTCAGGAGACAACACCAAGAAACCTTGGCACTAGCGAAAGATATTCCCAATCAGCCGATGCAGAGGCTATAGCTTTTCGTGCAACTGCCACCACCAGAGACTCTGCGTCTATATCAAGCACATTCGCCTCGGGGGCACAGGCAACTGGACTTGAAGATAGTTTGAGTCAGCGAGTGTCACAAAGCCCATCTCACTTGTACCAGCAGCATCAAGAGCTCAAGCAGTTTGATGAGTCTTACCAGACCCAAGCAGATCAACACGTCCAACTTCAACACAAACATCAACCTCGACATGCTTCACCACAGGGTTTGAGATCCGAACAGTCAATCCAGCCGACGAGTCTATCTTCTCCAACAAATGGAAAGCCGCAGAGTCGGGGCCTTGGGGCTCCGGAGGGTATTCTCCGAGAAGTAACAGTGGTGGGTTTGTACCAGCGGCAGCGACGACAGCAACGACAGCTGTCGAATCAATTAGGCCATTCCGCTGCAGGGCCATTTTCCCGGACAACAGGCTCAAAATCTCCTCGGCAAGCTCAAAAGCTTGACGGCCGACCTCTGATTCCTCAACACGAGCAACAATGTCTTCGTTATTCAGCTGGGACAGCACCCTTAGCAAACAAACATGGATCATTTTGAGCCGGATCGGTTAGAAGAGCCAGTACCAATCGCAAATATGAACGAAACACCTCCCAAGCCTTGTAAAACTGCATCAGCGCCTATAGCAAACATGCCTTAAGCTCCCAGTTTTAAAAGTCAGAACTACGTCTGAATAGACTATCATAGCAACTCTGGCGCAGCGAAGCAAATCAGGATTCACGTTTTGACAACACACTGACCGAAATTGGCATGCGTAATCAAGTATTTCACACCATGAAAAGGGAGTGATAATATCAGCAGATAGTAAATAGCAGAGATTGGTGGCCCAAGTCGGTCGATTTCATGTGATCGGACCTTTTCTGCTATTGAGTTGCAGGACGACTCAAGTATACGCGTCCTACAAATCATGACAGGGGCACCGGAGTGTTTGCACGGGAGGGCGGACGTAACGTGAGTATCACTTGTGTGGATAAGAAGTAAAGAAAAGATGTGCTTTTAAGTGGCAGAGGGGCTTCATATTGGAGTAAAGGCTGGATTTCAGGCTTAGCTAAGGCATTGTGTTTATGTGAATTGATTATATATCACTTATGGACAAGTATCACTCAAAAGGCCAAAGTCTAGCTCAGCATACTTCTGGTCTGATGTTCAGATAATCATATCCGTTCTGTTTTGGTAAATTTAACGATGTCCTTCCCGCCTGTTATCAAAGTAGAGGCTTCTCTGGATAATAAATATACTACTGTCTGAATGAATCAAGAGCGACGCCAACTTGACGCCATGAGGCTAGTGCAAACACTGGGTGAGAATCTCTTTTCACTATTCATTGAAACAAGAGCCGGTCGAGGCTTTGAGACACTCGGCTTCGCTCATGCTCAACATCTAAGTTATAAGGGAAGCGGTGAAATATAAATGAAAATATAATGTCGTATAGACAATCGGTATCAATGTGTATAGCCAGTGCTCCCACCCAGTACACCTTCGGTAACGCAGTGGTCCTTTTCTCCGCAACCGATAAAAAACGCCGTTTAAATGCTCAAGAACCCCGTTCTTTGACACATGCATGTACCCAAGTAAAACGACAAGTAGATGGTATAACTTCTCAACACGCTCGCCAACAGCAATCATAACAAACGAAGAATGCCTAAAATATAGTGAACCTGGTGCCGCTTAATCCGCATCGTCATCAGTGACACCGACGGGAGGCCGCACAGAATCGGGAATGCTGCGGCCGTACCACCATTCGTCCTCTTCTACAAGCCCATCTTCACGGATCAAGTCCAGCATGACCTGTTGGTTGCGTTTGATGTCCTGTGGACGCTCGACAACCCGACGCTGAAGAATCAGGGCCTCAGCTGTTGTGAGCCATATTTGTTGCAGCACAGGAAGGTCGCTGAGTAAGGCCTGAGCCTGTTGCGAAGTAAGAGGAGACATGGGAGCCCCAGCAGATAAACTTGTGTTGAAGACGAGATTGGTCTCCCAATCCATGTTCCCATCTATTGATCCAGAACTCCGGACCTTGTTCAATGCAGTTCCAGACGATCGGGCTTCACTAGTGGACTTTTTGCGTCCGAAAAGACTTCGTTTCGGCTTCGACGTTGACTGTTCAGTAGATGGCGCCTCTTTCGTGAGAGCATTAAACCATGTGTCGACAGCACCACGTCTGCTGTTATACCCCTTAATTTCCCAAAGTCTTTCCACTTGCCGCAGTCCACCAATGCATAAAATGGCAACATGCATATCGTCGGACGGTTTCTCCCGAATATAACCACGAAGTGATCGCTCGACTCTACCCACATATGTCGGTGGTCGTAGTCTCCGGCAGAACGATGATATTACGAGCGGAAAGACTTCGTGCACCCTTAATAAGGTTTGGTCGTCGTACATACTCATGATTTCGGCTTCAATGGGGTTCAAAGTGTATGGCTCCCGTCTCAATCCTTTTCCTCCGTTCTCAGCCATACGTTTTAGGTACAATTTCCGGTATGTCTCGAAGAAGTGGAATATGGTAAATAGAAGGGGGATTAGGCGTCGTCGCATGCGCTCGTTCTGGGGTGCAAATGCAAGTCGTTGAGCTTCGGTTTGGCGAAGAAAGATATCTTTTGTGATCCATTCACACATTAGAAAGGCGAGCTTGGCAGCGACGTGTAATCGATGCCATATCCCGCATAGATGTTGAAAGTTGATCTCGCTCGGATCTGTGACGGGGTAGAGGCGGGAGGCGTAAACGGGAATATGACGTTCGAGATGATATCGAGCGATAGTGTTTTCATTGAAAGTGACGAGAGTGTGCCACGATTTGGAGGCAAGTCGGAGATTAAGAACGTCGGTTAGTGGGAGGGCAGATATGATTTGAATCTGTAATTCGTTGGGCAGTCCTAGGAAGAGCTGATCGAAGCTGGCACTAATCTCACTTGTCAGTAAAGTGAAAGGATTAATATTTAGTTAAAAGAATATTACCTTTTTCGCGGCGTCTCGACGGAAGCTCGAGGCGCATGGCCGGACTGGCCGTTCGATTTGGAGTGGAGGATCGAGACTTTTGAGCGAAGGCCGAAAAACCTTGACTTATCACGTTTCTGGTCAAGGGGTTTGAAGGGTTCGACATCGGCGATTTTTGTTTCCCGGAGAGGAAGAATAAACCTCGAGGGCGATGAGGCGGAAGCATCAAGATTATCTCGAGTCGGAGGTTGATGCTGATGTTGGTGAGCATTGAGCTGGCTTAATTTTTCGAAATAACGCTCAGAAGCAAATTCAGTGATATGTGGCGGATCCATGGCCATCGTCCGCGCTTGATGATGAGCCATGGTAACAGGCGTCGAAAAGAAAACGAGCGACGTTCGACACTATCGATGAGAGGAGGGCGCGAGGGCCACGACGTATTAGAAAGGACGGTTTTGCCTTTGGTGGGCAAGCCTAAATGGCTACAGACGTCCGTCTCTATTGCGCACTGAATGAAAATATACTCGACATGGCGAGAGGAAGAGCGATTTGATGAGACGGAGCGATCGGGAACGCCGAAAACTACGGACCGGAGATCCGGAGGCACAGATAAATCGAGTTCGAGGGGCAGACGTCAAAAGAAAATGGCTGATAATAAGAAGGACGAGGGGGAAGAGCAGTCGATCGATATCGTGAAAGGCGAGTTCGTGGTGTTTCGTGTTGGTTTGGATGGGACAGAATGAACTGTGTGGGATAAACGGGAAAGTGGGAAGGGTAATGGTACAAGGAAAGAGCGAGAGAGCGTAGTGATTACTAGCTGGGCTCCAGAAGGAAGGGGACTTCCAGGTACAAGGATACTTGGGTACGTACGGTACAAATCCGGGGGAGAATGGAACGACATGGAGGGGGTGTGAGATGGAGCGTTTTTTTTTCCCAGACCAGAAGAGGTGTGTAGTTAAATGGGCCACGACTCCACAGACGGGACGATAATGATTCTCTATAGAGGCAGGTGCTATCTTGAATTGGGACGACTGGCAAAAATGAACCATTGAATATGATAGATACCTACGGATGAAACTCAAGGTTTACTGGCCGTAGAGCTTGTGGTTCGTGATGAGGGCTGTACTGTATTATCCCATGTTGAGGCGATCATCCAAAAAGAAAAGCTGGCTGAGGTATGAATGTCCCAACTATCTGGATACTTCCCGTTCTGGGTATTACCTAGATTTGAGAAGGTTCCATTAGATGATTGACTGATAAGGTACATCCCATTCCGCCAAGTGCAAGTGCGCCGATGGGTTGGGCTGATGATGAAAGTAAGGAGCCAAACAATGAAGATCCTATTGCCTAGACGTAAAAACAACAATAAAACGAAACGAAAGATTTGGCCACATGCCGCATGCCATTGTGAAGGTATTAACTGGCGATGGGGGAACGGACCGACCGTTTAACATGGTGGGGTGTCGTTTGATTGACTGTCCTGATATCAGTTCAGGGCAATACAGCACATCACAGTGACAATTTGGATATCTAGCGCACCTCATGGTCGCCTAAGGTGCCAAAAAAGCAAACGTTTGGTTCGCCCCAAGCGGCGTTTGGCCGGCCAAACTGTGGAGAGGACACTCCATGACAACTGTGGGGGGACATTGGGGCCCCTTTTTTCACATAATGCGTGGGTGTACTCCAGTCTGGAGAAACCGCGTGAGCGAATCTCCCCGGTGCTTTGGACTTCCTGGAGAGGAAATCTGGGCAGCAGAGAGGAAAAGCCCCAGACCCAGAATGACGATGGAGCCCGTAGAAACCTCTCCACTGCCTTGCGCGAATCTCCCCACAACCTAAACAACAGCAGTTTCCATTAGCATTAGCATTCCTCTGGCCCTGGATTGCCTGTGGCCCTCAGGTACCTTAAGTGACCAGCTGACGTTGGTGATGCATCTGCCCTCCACTGCAACGCTCCAGAAAAACGCCGGTTCATAGTAGTGTACAGTTATTGCACGGTACGTGCGAGGTGCTTCTATGAGTGCTTTGCCTTCACTTTTGCAAGTAAGGCACAGTGCGAGATAACTCACTTGATCCCCCATGATCGTCAATGAAATTCCCGACTCGGCCCAATTGGCCGGCCCTATTCTATTCCCATCCGTTCCATGCTATGCAGCGTCTACGACATGTGCCTCCTGTGTGGTGCGTTGCGGTTCAGATGCGTTGCGATTATGGCTTTCCCGTTGACTGTTCCCGAAGCTCTATCAAACAACGTTACAGCGCCTGTTTTGGCTATTTCTAAGTTTCTACTAAAAGCACCTCGCAATTCCATTAACTGGCCTTGGAACCTTTTGTTTCGCCGCTCATTGAATGGTGGCGCTGCACGGGAGATACCTTATTACTCGGCATAACAGATACGTTGGGAAACAGAGACGACAGCTCAGAAAATGACCCCTGGCGAGTTTTTTTTCCCCTTCCACGGATCTCTTCTCTTTTTCGAGGCTTGGGCTGGAGCGTTCTCATTATGTACTTAGGTTTGTCTTGGCCCTTGGCTTACCTTCAAACTGGCTCTTCTCCGGGTCTTCACCGGATCCGCCACCCGTTCATATCTCGGCCTATTCTTCAGGGATTGCATTTAGCCGGTCAAAATATAGGTGTTAACTGGGTCCTTGCAGGCTTTAGGCAGACTTTTCTGAATGGGTTTACCCTCGTCACTTTTATTCTTCCTGGCCTTTTATTTACATATTACCTTCATCAACATTTGGTCCAATGATCAAGCAATGAGACAGCCCAGGTCGGAGCGAATTGGATGTCCTCCGTATAGCCTATCCAAGTGCCGGCCGAGTCTTTCACCGAATGGAGGTCCAGTAAATAAGATTTTCAGATGGACAGAAACTTCGATGAGCTGGATAAGATACCAAATATCCTGATTACGCTACATGGTTATGACGCCAAGGATGGATCAGCTTAGCTACTGTATTTGCACCTCAGGTCTGATTTCGAAGTCTTCGTCATAGGTTTTCCATAGTATGATGTTTGAGTTATCTTCAAAGCTCATACAAACTTCATATTTCGCTAATGCACCTTAAACTGCCTTTCGCCAGGTTGTCATTAATAACTTATTTATATGAGATTCACCGAGTGAGGAGATAGCATATCGAGTATATCAGACTCATAGATACCGACTCACGAGACCTAAAATGATTTTCGATTTCATGGAGAACACCACTAGAAGGAACTACAATTACCTCACCTCACCTCACCTCACCTCACCTCACTTGACATCCCCAGAACAAGAGCAATGGCACCAGAAAGCTTGGACCATAGACTATCTGCCCCCGGAATTGCGTGGATCCATCTGTAGCAGAGTCAAGCCGAGGACCCTCTCTCCGGCCGAGAGCTGCATACGGTAGTTACAAAGGCGAAGTGAGGTGAGTTTTGTAGAAGAGCTCGAGACCGAATGGCTGAGTGCTTTTGCCGTGCGAATCGCGTCCCCCGAAGAGTTCGTTTGATACAGATAAGTCGACAGTCTCTTTGCATTGTCCATATACAGGCCTTCGCAAATGGATGTACTGTACTTATCCGACTTAAAATAAGATATTCCAACATGTTGCAATGTATGTATGCATGTCTCGAGTAACTCTGGAGACTCTCAACTGTCTTTGGGCCAATTCTCGTTTAGATGCAACAATACTAGTATGGTTATTGATGATGACGGAGTCAGTGGATGTGTGGTTCATTTCTCCACGTTGCGAGTAAGATTTCCGGTCAAGTCCAGTTGAATGCCACTGAGCGATCGTTGTGAGAGGGGGCTTCTGCGTGACAATACAAACCTAGCGACCAACATTCGTTATCATATATACCAATATCAGTGATGTTATCAACACGGTTGATATCACTTACACGACGTCAAAATAGTAGATTTGAATCTCAGCAATCTCACGAGTAATAGAGAGTCAAATAATTGGGGTTGTCTGAATATGGTTGTGGATGCGAGGACCAGCTGAACGGACCCGAGACACCCACCCTACTTTGGGCTTGAGAGGGGGGCGTGTTCCTATCAGTCGCGGCCTTACTGCGGTGGTTCTGGGCAGAAGGACTGGCCCCATCCGTGACAAGCTCAATATTCAGTGTCTCGTTGACGCCGATCTTGAGAATCGACTTGTTTCTGGTTGGTTGGCAACTTCAAGAAAAACAAGACATTGCTGTGAGTATAGTACATAGAGAGATAGGCGAGGGGATCAATACCTATGCTAATAGAATGTCTCGGGGTAGAATCATCATAGCTATAGACTACGGCAGTTCCTGGAATAGATAGAGACGCTGATAGAAGAGCCTTGTTTTTGGGACGATACTGCCTTGGCATGAGAACCCGTAACGTTTCCTCTACTCGATTGACATCTCAGTAAACTTCTTTTGCAATGAAACCTTGCATTGGTTCGAGATTTTTTGGATGAATATCAAATGCAAGGCACGCGATACGCAAAAGTAACTTGAAGTCACGGTATATTCCTATACTGTCTTGGGATCACCTATCTCATACTTGCAAAAGGCACTTGCCCATATGCCTAGTAGAGATCAGCAGCACATGTTGAAAGTTTCTTTCTCAGGCTGTACAATAGATGCTGTTATTGTTGACGACATACAGTCATGACTCTAAATCACTCTGAGTCTCAATTCTGTCACGCAATCGGCCGATAAGAAATGGCTTTCGTCCCGATAATACCGATAAACTCCAGCCCAGCCCAGTCCAGCCAGTCAAAGCACGACCAGGGTAAGGCAAGGTACCAGGCCAAGTCCCAGGACAGTCAGCACTGCCTCAGTTAGCACACATTCTAACGTACTAACCTACTATACTCGGTAGCCTGTAGTAGATGGAGTACCTACCTTACCGACTGTACGTTGGAAGACGAAAATACAAGACCGGTTTTGGGTTGAGGTTGGGTACAAGCCAATCTGAATTTTTCCCCTTTCCCTCCCTGCTCTCGGAGGCTAGGAACCTTTTTTAGATGGTCAAGTGATGAAAGAACTCTCTGCTACCTTACCTTGACTTACCAAGCAACCTAACTGGTAAGGTTACTGATGAGCTTAGGTAGGTATGCGCTTCTCTATGTGTTCTATCTTGCTTCCATTTCCAACAAACAGGTTCCTATCGAGTACTTCAAGGGAATGATTGGATCGTCTGTTCTCGTCTCTGAAACAGCTTCCCCTTCCGTGCAATCCGCCGCCGTTACTGCGCTGTAGATATGGCTACTACTAATGGTTGAATGGAGGTAGACGCGTACACAGCATTTCTCCAAGTCCATTCCGTCCCATCCCGCGTTCAGTCCACTTCTTTCCCCCCTCAACTTCTCCTCTCATGTAATAACCGTTCAAAAACTAGAAGCTGACAACCATGTCATGTCATGTTCCATCTCATCTCGTGCTCAACCCAATGTTCCTTCTTCTCTCAATGTCCTGAAACTGGTAACTCCCCCGCCACTACCGCCACCGCCGTCTCCTCCCCTCTGACTCGTCGCCTACCCTCGTCAGAGACGTTCAAAGTCAAGCCATTTTAACATAGCTCCCGACACAGTTCCGGCTGCATCGCGGAATGTGTCCGGTGCCTCCTTCCCGTACCTTACTAAACCAATCTACCTCAACTCTTTGATACCTTATTCACCGAAATAACCTCGTCTCGGTCCGAGAAGGAGCGGGACCCTGAAAAAAACGCAAAAGCGCAAGTGGCCGAGAAGACAGCAACAACCCAGCCGAAGCCAGTTGTAGAGGGACAGAGCAAAGAGCGAGACCAAAACGAAGTCGAAACAAAGCTATCGGGCTAATATCAAAAGTGCCCAGATTTTGACCCCTTCTCCGCCTCCTCAACCCCCATCCCCATCCGCGTCCCCATCTCCATCTCCATACTCTACCGCTCGAATACGGAGCTGCTGTATTCAGCAGCGTTTATTCTGGAGCTTATCGTTTCTTCTGTGTGTCCTTTCCGCTTCCCCCATATCGAGCAAGTCGCCCTAAGCCATGACGACTGACCCATCTTCGGGCTCTTCTCGGCCTGGATCCTCATCCGTATCAGCATCAGCATCAGCATCAGTACCTGTCGTTGCCGGTGAAGCCCCTATCGTCCCTTCTGTGGAGGCCCAGCACCTAGCCCGCTTCGAGTTCAGTGATGCTGGTACAAAGGTTCTTATGGTGGAGTGGTATCCCGATGCCGTTCGGGGCCCCGCTGCATCTGCCGATCCTCCTGCCGATACCTCCGTTGAACAATCCGCTTCGGCCGCCGATCGCATCTCCGCAACGGAGCCGACTCCGACTTCTGCTCCAGTGGACAGCATCAACAGAACATGTTGGCAAGTATCGTGGCCGGGGAAGTCTACCAACCTCCCTGCTGCCGATCCTGAGCCAGACTCAGATGCAGGCACTGCTCCTGCGTCTTCGTCTCGTCAACATCGTCGCCGTGTATTCTTCCTGCTCCCCGCTGATGCCACGGTCCCCTCGACGGTCACTATCACGCCGCCTGGCTCACCCAGTCTGATCCTCAAACCACTTCCGGCCATCTTCCCACCAGGCCTTGCCGCTGATCCAGGCAATCGGGGTGTCCTGCACACACTATGGGCCCGTCAACGTCTGGCAGCCATAGATCGGGAGGTGGCTGCCGAGCTTCGCAATAATGCTGAGGGTGTGGGTGTTGAGATGGCCCTCGCCGAGAGGCAATGGATCCTTGACACCTTCATCAACACGCCGCAACTTCCTAGTGATTCGATGCCTCGTCCTGTAGCCACCCGTTCACCTACGGGCCGCTTGGGGGATAAGCTCAAAGGTCTCAAGCTGGCCACATCACCTGCTGATCTAACACCGAGCACGACAGGTATTTGAGATTCATTGCCCCAGTTCCAGTGCATAAGCTGACTTCTCTCCTAAAAGCAAACACCTTCATGAGCCCCATTAGCCAATCCCACCCGTTCCAACCCAGAGGGCGTGATATTGCTGTGTCATCTCATGAGGCCATGTCTAGCAACGCGTCTACAGGTCCCATCTCGCTTAATGCAGCACTACATGGCGACGTAACCACAGCTGCCTCGGCCCCTGTCAGACCTCTACGGCGAGATGACGACGATGATCTGTTTGCTCTGCCCATGAGTCCCCGCAGTCCGGACATGAAGAAGAGTCCTTTCAGCGCTCTATGATAGTGAGATGCGAGCTTTTTTATTACCCATGGCGCCATTAAGAGGATCAGAAAATTTGTGCAGCTTTCAAAGTCAATGACATAGATACCCGTGTTGTATAAGCGAGCGTTGGTTATAAGTGGGAAGCATTCGACGGCATATCCGTCCCAGCTACATCGCATATGACAGTTTGTATTACTATAAACCAATGTCCGGCGTCAAAAAGGACGAATCTAGGGTAATCATCTATAGGGCTGGGGCCACTGTCCAGCTTATAATTTGGTGTCGTAAGTCGTAAGCGCTGATGATCTATATCAGGTCAGATCGGGTAGCTGAAAGTTCAATAAAATACAGTGTCATGCGCCAACGCCCATGCCGTATAAACGCCTAGAACTATTCATCTCCATCCACCGACACGTCCCTCGTCCCATCTCTCTTTCCTCTCTTGCCTCAAATAGTACAGGACCTTAGCCTCTCTATATCTACGCACCCAATCAGTCACCTCCCGCTCCGTCGCCGATACTCCTTCTCCCTCTCCGTCGAGGAAACTCTCCTCCATAGCCTCGCACACCGATGCCTGCTCCTGGACGCCCTGCCCCAGCTGCTGGTATAACGCTGATGGTGAAAAGGGCGCCAGCGCGTGATCCATGTCAGACTGCTTCTGGCGCCATTGTCGCTCGAGAGTGTGTGTTGAGAGAAGTTGTGCCTGTGTCGATGCGCGCTGATGGGATAGCCGGGCTTCCATGTCTGTGAGTTGACCAGCGAGCTCGATGTTCTCATTGAGTGCGGCGGATAGAGCTTGATGCGATACAAGGAGGGAAGGGTGAATGGATTCAGGAGAGTGCGTTAATGCGTTGAGGAGAGTTGGGTTTCCAAGCAGTTCAGCTAGGTCTTGTTTTCTTGCCACAGAATTTAGAAGTGCAATCTTGCGATTGGGATATTACATACGACTTGTCCTGCAGAATCTGAGGGAGCCATTGGTCGCCTGGGTCAGGGATCGATGCTGGCGCGTGGTTCACAGTGTTGGAGGGAATGCGGCCTTCGGACGGTGGAGGTACGCCTGATGAGGTCGGTGTCGCAATGCGACTCGTCTCATGGCTGCCAGGTTTGGGAGGAAGGACGGGAGGAGTTGCGCCCTGCATATCAGATGCGAAGCTTGCCATTGGGGTTGTCGCCTCGGTGCGCTCTTTGTTATTGGGGAGTAATTCGGGGTATATATGATAACGAGTTGTTGTAAAGTTCACGTTGAGTTGGAGTTGGAAGATGCAGGTCTGAAGTGGGGAGCTTCTTGCCAATTGTGTCATAAGCCTGGCCCCCATGTTTCGGGTATCGACAAGCAATCTCGGAATAAGCTCAATGCACTAAAGAAAGTGGAATGTCGCAGCATGAATACGTCTTCTTATTATCAGAGTTAATTGTTCTCAATAACTCGATCTACCTATTGAGATCTAGAAAGTTTCTTCGTGGGCTCAATTCCTCCTATGTACCATTTCCGAGCATCGTGCCCCCCCAATGTTTTTACAATTCATGCCCGTCTCCACCAACTGAAAATGATAAATCCGTGGGTACTTATCGGAAGTCAACGCCCAGACAACGAAATAACAACTCGGCAGTCAGTCAGTCAACAGATACGAGTGACGACAGAATGGAAGGAACTCTCTCATGGCTTGACAGACCACAGATCCCGAGACCAACCCATCTCTCGCAGCTTCTTGCTGCCAGTGCTCGCGGTTCTCTTTTCACCAGTGCTGATGGCCAATGCCTTGCTGCTGGCAGCGAAGACTTCCACCAGCTCCTTCATTCTTCCAGCTTCTACGAACGCAACCGACAGATCTGAGTCGCGCTCTGCAATGATGGAAGCAAGCTCCATACACTCCAGGAGGTTGTCTCGAGACAAGCCAGTACCAGCAAAGTGCAGCGTGCCAACGTATGCTAGAACTGTTTCGGGGAGATATGCCTGACGGAGATCCCGTAGTTCTTGATCACCTTCTAATTTGTCTGTTAGCACTGAGATATAATCTGATTATAGGGGCCCACTTACCCTCGATGCCCACCAGGAGCCAGTTCTTGAGAAGAGGCTGCATGTTTTCTTTTGTGTTCTTAACTTCATCACCAATAGCATTCCAAAACTCTCGCTTCTTCTTCTGGTCCCTGTATTTCGTTAGCATCATGGCCTTGTCTGCTCGAGCGTGTGTTGCGTACTCATTTGTAAGCTCGGCTAACGACGCGACTGTCTCCAAACTATCCAGGGCCCGAACCAGATTCTCTAGTTCACGGAAATTTCGGGCGTCTGAGAGTGCTTGTTGCGGTGTCACATCACGAATACCTCTCCGATCAAGTTGCCTAGCCCAGAACTCGGGAATATCTTCGTATAACTCCATCTCGTCACCACTTTCTTCCGTAGCTGCGTGCAGGACCTCTGAAAATGGAACTCGCTTCATCAGTTGGCGAGCAGCACTGAGGTGCATGTTGCCTGTGGCGTTGTCAGTTTTTACTGAGTGCTTGAAGAAAAATAACTCACGCAAAAAGAATTTGTAGATCTTGGTTCCCATAGAGAACACGTTGGGCCATGTTTCTTGCACCAGTACGAGCCACTCTAGTGATCGGATGAGATTCTCATGTGCCTGGTCAACGAATCTCTCATCATCGCCAAAGAAGTCGGGTCTCACAGGGCGACCACTGCGTGAAGTAGGTGGGCCAGGCTCAATGATACTGAATGCTTCCTTGGCAGGACATCCTTGCTGTGGCGGACCCAAATCATCGAACATAAGCCATGCCTGAGTCTTGACAAACTCCAGCACGTCGATGCCAGCTTTCTTAATAAGTCTGAGCTGCAGTAGACGTCGGCTCGCCTGCATTTCGGGAATGAGGTTGTAGCTGAGCACCTCGTATGACCGGGGGGGCTCCAAAATCGAACAGTAAAGAGGTATTAACTCGTGAAACTGGGCCAGGCGAAGATAGTTCGCGTACCCGGCAATGAGGTTCTGTTGGGAACGTCTCACTTCAGGAGGAGAAAAGGCAGGGGCGAGCGAATCATCCTTCGAGTCCAGCTTATCCATGAGGTTAATGAGGAGATAGATATGTGCAACGATCCGGAGGCCGTAGTGCTGTGTAGACTGAAAGAACCTCTCCTTATTTACCTCGAGCTTCGTAGACTCCCGTCTGTAGAGTGTCGACTCGTTTTGACTTGCGCCAGAAGAAATGACCAAGCCTTGCTGATAAAGATGTTGACCAATTTCCTTAGAAATCAAGGATGCCTGCAACGCCTTATTGGGCTCGTTCGCTTCGTCCTTGATCTGGGGATTGGATTCCAGAGCTCGGACCAGACGCATGTCAACTGTTCTTGGCTCACCGTGGAATTGAACAGCGTCAAATGAAGGAAAGGATTGTGTAAGGTTTGAAGCAACATCGGATGGGCATTGTCCAAGTATGTAATTGTCGAGCTGTGTGCGAAGTAATGCGTTGTAGTTCGCGAAGAGAAAATCATCCCAGTTCAGGGCAACTTTCTCGACGCTCGGGATGTCTCCTGATAAAACACCATACACCGCACGCTCATAGTCATCACAGCCACCAGATCGAGACAAGCTGAAACACATTCGTCGCCATAGAGCAAGTGATGCTGGTTTGGTGTTGGTCATTTCCTGGCTGTCGTCGGCTGAAAGAAGTACGGCAGAGGTCGAAATAGCCCGCCACATTTCGGTTCGTTCCTGGCACCATTCACGGATAGTGCCTAGGCTTGATCCTCGGCGGAGGTGTTCCCAGCAACCCAGCCAAATGGCACGCTCAAAGTACTCATCTTGGGGTTCAAGTTTTCGTCCCTGACGAGTCGCAGCGTCTGGGTCCAGCTGGGTCACAAGAGGTGAGCCATCTGAGTTGTGAAATGAGGTCGCAATAGCTGGCGACTGGCGATCCAGAAGATGAGGCCAAGCTGTGACGCTCTTCCGAAGCTTGATTGAGGAGCGAGTGTGAAGCCAGCCGTGAGCGATGATATCTCCCCGGTCGGCGCTTTGCTGGAGTTCACGCGCAAGCTCGTCGATATCCGGTCCAGAAGAAGCATTGTTCTGAAGCCACTGTATGACGGCTTGTCGTTCGCGCGCTGATGGATCACTCGCCAGGAAAATTTTGAGCAGATCTCTCGAATCCATGGAGCTCTGCTCAGTTTTGGAAACGTTCTGCCCGTTATCAGAACTAGCATATCTCAGTGGAAGGAGCCTGCGTAATAGATCCCATGTTTGCGCTTCCCTCTCGAGACGTTTGACAAGCTCTGCTGAGGCAGGGTTGCTATTAGCAGCATCGTCGTCTGCATCCATATCGACATCGTCTTGTCCATTGCGCATCATGCGCGGTCGAACCTGTGCTAGGCGTCGAAGGGCATTCTCGTAGTATTTTCGAGGTAGGTCTAAGATTCGTGCTCGTCGTTCTTCGTTCGAGAGGGGAGGGGAGAGACAGTCGTCAAGCGCGTTGGCGAACTCTTCGACCTCGGGCCCGGCTTCGTAAGAGAGAAATTTCTCAGGCTCGACAGGCGCCATCTCAGCGGCTCAAGTTGGTCTGTCTTGGGGAATGTCAAGTCGAATGTATGTTTAGTACACAGGGCGATGGAGCAAGCAACCCTTTTCGGCAGGTTTCGGCCGACGGGTCAAAGGTAAAGATCGATCAATGTCGTGAACATGCCCGATATGGGTATAGGTATTAAGTCGCGTGTATCGGAGTCGTGAAAATGAAGGAAGGATAATGCTAGTGAGGTTTGCTGGAGATGCTTGTTTTGGTTAATACTGCAGGCAGAACCAAAGACTCTGGACGAATTGTTTTGGTTGCTGCTTCACTGGCGCGCTGGTTAGAGCTAGCTCGGCGGTACGTACTATTCCTGCGTCGGTGTTTCTCATTGGACGATGAATCCAAACTGCGAAAGGTAAAATACTGATCTTTTGAGCAAGCTACGGATTTTTGCGCTAAAGAGAAAACAGCCGCGATTGCACGCGCGCATAATGTACAGTGCATTATCAGGTGAGTTCGCACTCGACACTGTCCTAGTTCAAGTACGTCTCCACCAAACAGGAAATTTAATTTTCTTTTCTCTTCTTCTCTATCATAATGTCATCGGCATTCGTATTAGAGTCTCGGAACAGGCCCTCAATGCTTGTTCAGGTCCATGAGGCCTCTCGCGTGCTCAACGATCGCCTAGAAGAAATTCGGCGCTCATCATTCAAGTTGCCAGCGTTTCCCAAACCGGCGGACACACCAAAGACGAGCGTTACAGATCATTTTGCTTCCTCCCGAAGTTGCTTCATTTTGAGCTTGAGCAGATTGGGCTTCGGGCAGCTCACAGTAGACGCATCTTCACCGTAGCGTTCGTAAAAAGCTTCACAGCATTCGTAAAGCCGCTTGATTGCGGTTTGGCACTTGGCTTCGTTGTAGCCATTGCTGGTAAGGCAGTCTTGTAGTATTTGGGTCAGCATTTTGTCTCCATCTTTTATTATTGTATCTGGAGAAAATACTTTGAATTGCACACTGCACAGGTGTCAGTCACAGCGGCCATTCCAACATCTTGGGTTTCGCAACTTACTGCACGAGGATGACAAGCAGGCTTAGCCTCGACATCATCTTTCAGAGCCTAGGGTCATACCTATTAGCTTCTCCCAAGCGTTTACTCTGAAATTTGTCGGGAGAGACAAACCATTATCGTGTATAGTATGATAATTTGCAGTATACGGCGGTTTTCCGCATCAATGTGGTACCAAGTCAATGTCCAATAGGCATGTGAACTGAAGACGCTTTTGTCTCTTGTGTAAGAATAACGAGTGATAATCTGATATTGGCGATCCAAGATGATGGAAGAAAGGGAGAGTTGAACGTGGATTAAATGGAGAAGACTGATGTCATGCTTCCTTGGCCAACCACTACTGGCTAGGAAGAGGAGAAATACGCTCTTTTCCTCCACAGTATTCCAATATATACCTAGGTACCTTGTGGTTAGTAGGTAGGTACATATAGTAGTTATCAAGTTGACTGGAAAGTGATATTAGTATGTGTGGCTATGAATAGTACGTCCATCACCACAATATCTGCAATCCTATTTAAGTCCTATAAGTAAGATATGCAATGTCTTGGTTTTATGAATATCCAACAGTTAAATGGGGCTGTGATTTAGCACACCAAGCTTCCAGCAACCAACCCTACGTTTTCGGTATAGGGTACGAGGAGTATCGTCGACGACCACGATCGAGTGGCGTACCTTATGTATGGGTTTCCATTGGGATGGGTAGCTTAGTAGCTTCCACTATCTTACATATTGATCAGAGCGGTGGATAGCCAATCAAAGTCAGTCATTCGTTTCTCGGCCCCGCCCGCTCCAAGGTTGTGTTCTTTCCATTCGCCCACTTAAATGTTCAAGTGAACTGTGCTGTGTTGTAGCGTCTTGAGAGTGCTGAAACGCTGAGGCGAAGTCTGATAGACAACTAGATATTGGTTGCCTTCCATCCAATCCCTCTCTCTAGGCTCATCACCCACCATCGTCTTTTATACTTCCCACCACCAACAAACTTGATCATCCTTTTTTTCTTGCACACACCTGATCTTTATTTATTCCTCAACCCGCGTATAGCTCACCACTTTACGTCCCGCCGGCCAAACGCGCATAACGCGATCATCACCCCCACTTGCCCAACTTACCCTCAACGACCATCGTGCAAAGGTAATATTCTGATTCTTGCGATGTCTTGCTACACCTTCTCTCCTGCACTTCATCTCGAGTCACGCGCTGACATTATTTCGTCTTAAGTGCATAGATACTATCGAGACTAATTCAAAATGTCCAATGAGAACGAAAACGGGACCCCTGGCGAGCAGGCACCCGCCAACTCGGAGCACCTCAACATCAAGGTCACCGACAACAACAACGAGGTCTTCTTCAAGATCAAGCGCACTACAAAGCTTGAGAAGCTTATGGGCGCTTTTTGCGAGCGCCAGGGAAAGGCGACCAGCTCCGTGCGATTTCTCTTTGACGGCACGCGAGTCCAACCCACCGATACGCCCGATGCGGTACGTTTTCGCTCTTCTATTGTACACTAGGGCATCTGATCCCTATGCTTAAACCATTTCCTACTGCAACTTCCGGGAGAAATCACACATGCTGACAAGTAACATCACACAGCTCGAGATGCAGGATGGGGATACCCTTGAGGTCCACCAGGAGCAGGTGGGCGGATCTACACAGTAATGGAGAGGGGGATTTTCGAGGAAGAATTACCAGGAGGAAGATCTCAAAAGAGATGAACACCCAAGGATGATGTTCTTGAACTGGATTTCGATTACCCCTGGTTGTACTTTTGGCTTTGCGTACATCGGACGAGAGGAAGACTGAAACAAGTCGACGAATGATTTACGACAGACAAAACACTACCTGATCAACTCGCTGTCCCTCTATTCCCGCTGTGACTTGTGTGGTAAATTGCATGTTTTTCTTTTATCTTCCGCAGCAGAGGTACGAACGACCTGTGTGCTTTGGCTTGATAGAGAATACGCTCGTCCAATCGCGCTCTTAGGGTAACGTTTATCAAACAACAACAATGCGTCATGATCACACAGAAATCGGGAAAAAACTTGACATGCAGCAGACAGAACCGAAGCGTGTGTTGGCCATTCTAAAGTCGAAATCACGTACCCACGGTTCGCGCCGTGTCTATTTTGCCTTATGGCCAAAATGTTCCAACCAGACAATTTACATGATCAAGTTGAGCGTTGAGCGCGCCGCTCCCCTGGAAGAACTGAAGACCAAATCAGAAGCACAAAACAAACCATATGCTGACCGGCAAAACCGAAGGGAAACAGACCAACCACGAAAGAAGAACATGCAGAAATCAAAACACGCACGCCGAAATCACACACATCATCATTACGCTTTGAGTTCCATAGCTCGGCATCCAGTGCAGAGCACGATAGTGCCTTCGGGCACATGCTTAGTGAAGATCTGGCCGTCGTCGAAACCGCCCTGACACTCGGCGCATCGGAAGCAATGTTCATGCCACTCTCCACCTAGCGCTTGAATATACTGCCCGATAACAGCTGTACGGCATTTCCTGCACTTCGGCGCTCGTCGTTCGGTGCGCTTCGTCTGGCAGTTGATGCACCACGCATAACCATCCTTCTCAATGTGTGTCATGCCATGTTCGAATGGGTCACCACATTCGGCACAGAAGAAGTGGCCATAGTGCCAGTGAGCTCCAAGAGCGACAATGTGCTCACCGAGAATAGGGGTCTGACAGTGCTTGCAACGCGGCGCGAACAGTTCATGCCAATCGAGGTGACAAAAGAAACGCAGACGCTCATCTCCGTCTTCGGCCATCGTTTTGCCCGGCTCCTCTTCGAGTATCTCACCAGCTGCGCGGCGTTTGATGCGATCAAGCCGCTCCTGACGAAGGTGATCAGGCTCATGGCTAATCTCCATCGCCTGTAGGTTAGTACCACAAGTATAGCAGCTGAAGCACTGTGGATGGAATCGTTCATTGCTTCCCGCTAAGGCCACAAAACGCCCTTCAATGGGCATGCCACATTCATGACAAATTGTGACAGCTCGTCTACTGCTGCCAGGGGCTGGGGACCAATGGCCACGAGGCTTTTGTGCAGAACGGGGTGCTCCCCTGGCAACGGGATCAGGTAGCGGACGGGAGTGTGAAGTCGGTATGTCGTCAGGAGTCACGATCGCAGGAATGCTGCCTCCCTTACCGGGAGCCTCATCGATAGCAATACCGGGGATATTGATCGAAGGTACGGAGCCTCTGGGGCTATGGGATGTCTCGTCTACGCAGATCGACGGGATTTTCGTTCCTGTCGGCGTCCTGGGCATCGGCGAACTTTCCTCCGCCACAACGATACTAGGTACCGCCATGGGTTTCTCCGGCTGTGCGAAGGAGGAGGAGGATCTGCTGGGGGTTGCCGGGAGCGACCGGTCTGGGGTGGTATCAGTGGACTCGTCCGGGGCTTTCCAGTTGGCGTCGAAGCTTACAATGGGCCGTCCCGGACTGTCACTGACGGCTGTGGGTTCCGGGAGGTTTGGGCTGCGATCTTTCAAGCGCATGCTCGTGGCCGCACGAATGTCCTGACTCCGAACTTCCATGCCGTTCTTTCTCTCTACCTTGTCATCGACAGGGACGGAGCCGTCGTTGGAGCGGTTTCTTGTATAGAGAGGATTGCGAGAGCGCGTGGGAGGATTGCGGTGTATTTCAACTCGCTCGAGGGGCTTTGTCTTTTCTTCTTCTTCCCGTGGAGGTTCGAAGCGGACACGGTTTGTAGCTGTCTGAGCTCGGTTGCCAAGCTTCTCCGGTGATGTACGACCAGAAAAGCTCATGTTATTTGAAGTTAAAACTTCGGGTTCTTCCCAAATCTGATCTTCAGAAAAGGGACGACCGACTTCCCCGCTAATGTTTCTTTTCAGACTTCCCTGGCGTCGTTGCTCTGGGGTCTTGCCTGAACGACCAATGCTGCCATATGTCTTGTTATTGTGATTCGACTGCACGCTTGGTTGCCTCTGCTCTAACTCAGGCCGGGTTTCACGTTCGGTGCCCTCACCATCTGAAGAACTGCCTGAGCATGATCGCGTACCACCGACACTAGCAGTACGGGCATGGGCGTAGCTATTCTTTCTGAGGTGTGGCTTATAGCGGTATGGCCCGTCAGGACGGGGAGAAGGTGTGCCGTGTTGATGTTGCCAGACAAGCTCAGCAGCTTCATCAAGAGCAGCATTATATAGACGAGTATCATCCTCAGGAGTCTCCTGAACGGGCGATTTTGTACTCTTTCTTATGTCCATCTCCTCCATTGCGTCGCGCAATGAGCTTGCCTCTTCCTTCTCCATCCATCTTTGACCTCGCTCCATGTATGTGGCTGAGGGAACAACGTCCGATGGCCTCAAAGGGTTTGTAGCTGATGTTGGATAGTAGTCTGGGCTTTTTCTGCTGATGGTAGAGTATCTAGAGGCAAGACTGCCACCAGCAACGCTAGGGCTCTTCGAGTCCTTACGGTCAAGAATAGGTGGTGCGCTCTCGGGAGGAGAAGCAAGATCAGGCGTGAATCGGCCAGTACTATGGCGGTGCAAACTTGAGCGGCTGGGAACTGGACGGGCACCAGCTGGTTGAGGTCTTGCACCTCCAGGTCTGGTGACTCGATTTGACCGAAGACCTGCGAGATAGGAGGCTATTCAGCAAAGGGACAAATTAGCCAAGGACTTTCGCCACCATACTCAATTTCGTGTGCCATACCGAACTGCTCGTCTGTCATGTAAGAAGGCGACGGAGGAGTCACCTTGCGCTTCGGTTCCATCATCCTCGCTGTGCCTGGCATCTTTGCCAGAAGATGAGGGAGGATATTTATACGTTATGGAGGAAGAATATTCTGTCCGTTAGAGAAAAAGGCCGAAGAGGTGGTCAAGGTGGTAAATAAGAAGGCTTTCGACAAGGTATAGAGAGTGATAAGGGATAGCTATACTATGAAGTAGTGGCCGATAGTTTTAATGGTGGTCGCAAATCGAGCCGGCTGGGGTTGACCAGGCAACGCGATCTTGGACGGCTGGTTTGGTTGCGTCAAGGCATCACCACCAGCAACAAAAGCCTCTAAGTATGAGACAGGAATACGAAAACTTATGATCTCATTGATTTTTTTTTATGGGTTGGAAGCTTTGCAAGGTGCAAGGAACACTTAAGTAAGTATACGGCAGTTCCTATAGTGGAAAATCTTCCACCGCCATCTGCTAGGTTCTTATGATACAGTAGTTGAAGCGGGGACTGGAGGTTTTGATGTGTATTGCTCTCATTTGCTCAAATGCTACCCCAGTAAGGAGTTGTAGTCCGTATCAGCCTCAATGTCTTTACATAAGGCAGTAAGCTCCTTGAGTTTTTGAGTCCCATACCTACCTACCTACCCAGCTAGGTAATTAATGGAAGAGATATTAATCAGTCTCTTTTACCCCCTTGGTTCCATTATCAGCCTCTAGCGTCGCTTTCTCAGCTGAAGGAGGTGGAGATTCTGTAAAACCAAGGTTCTTGAATTCGTCCCTAGCCATCAAGTTTCTAAAATACCCGTCGCTATTAGCCCGCTTTGCTCCGAGATATTTACCTACGTGTATGCGTCATAAGTTAAAGAATTATATGCTCACCTGTCCATTCTGCATGATAGATATGCCTTTGCAAGGTCGCGACATTCTTCATCATTTAGACCTCGCACCTTTTTCATACATGAAAGATACTTTGTCATGTAAGTCTTGCACTCGCCTGCAATTGCTTTGGTCAAACTTCTTCCATTGAATGTGTTATTTAGTACGGTCCACTTACCATCATGATCGAGAGGAAAGCTTCCACGCTGTGGTCTGCTCAGAAGCACACAACTGTTCAGTGAATTATTCTCAGTGCGCAATGCTAAACTCACGGTGTTGGCTTTGTAGTTGGCAAAGGGCCGGGGCTGCCGAAAGTACTCATGATTCCGTATCTTCACTGGTCTTTGGACTGATTTCTAGTGCATCTATTGCCTTCTTCATGTTCCTTTAGACAGTAGAAAAGTCAGGCAACTTGTGGCGAACCTCGTTAAAGCACCTTGTAGTGGATAACAACATCATCAGGTGTGGCTGGTGACGTGGCACTGCCTCTGTAACGCAACTATGGAGTAAATCAGGTGTGAAAGCGGTCAGTAAGTTACTAAGACGCTCTCGAACTTGTCTACCTAAAGCAGGTACCTCACAGCCGAGAAACCTCCGATGAAGCCAGTAAAGCGGCCTAGAGCCAGGCATTACAAGGCCTAAAAAATGGGTGCTAGGTACCTACCTACATTACCTTAACCTGCCCGGGGGTGGTTGAACATTATGCAAATACACGTGAATCACCCCAAAAGTACTCTCGACTCCACTGCGCAAAGGAAGCAAAGCAAAGCAAAGCAAAGCCATCCTCAGCCCGAGCCTGAGCCTCCCAGACCGAACCGCATGAACTCCCGGAACTGACGACGGATTTTGAATTTAGCGACAACGCGCGCATTATTCGAAATATCCTCCGTGTCCTTGTGTTTGTCTTGGGTTTCGTGACGGACGCTTTACTAGACTCTACTGTCCTGTCCTGTCCTGTCCTGTTGTTTCTGTCATCGGTATCTCTCAAACTCGCTCGTCACAAAATTGGACTCTCATCACCATGGCTGCTCTCGGCGAGGATCTGCTCACCACGGTCAACAAGCTGCAAGACTTGGTTTTCAATACCATTGGCAGTGACTCGTTGGATCTCCCTCAGATCGTATGCAGTTTTTGCTACCTGAATTGGTTACTCTGGCACTGACTGACCGTTACTTAGGTTGTTGTCGGCTCCCAATCTGCAGGCAAATCTTCTGTCCTTGAGAATATCGTCGGTCGAGACTTTCTACCGCGCGGAGCCGGCATCTGCACTCGTCGTCCCCTGATCCTTCAGCTCATCAACGTTACCGAAGATGAAAACGCTCCCGACCCTGCAAGCGATCCTTATCGATCCCCCGGCGCTGCTCGCCGTTCCGAGTGGGCAGAGTTTCACCACATCCCCAACCGGAGGTTCAATGATTTTGGCGATGTCAAGCGCGAAATTGAGAACGAGACATCCCGAGTTGCCGGCAACAACAAGGGTATCAACCGGCAACCCATCAACCTCAAGATTTACTCTCCTCATGTTCTCAACTTGACCCTAGTGGATCTGCCGGGACTAACCAAGGTGAGTTTCCTGCTCTTTCCAATCTCGATGACCTTTAGCTCTGCTTTACCCCCTGGACATTACTGATCAAACCCCATCCACAGGTCCCTATTGGCGACCAGCCTACCGACATTGAGAAGCAGACTCGAAACCTTATTTCCGAATATATTGCCAAGCCCAACAGTATTATCCTCGCCGTATCTCCCGCCAACGTCGATATCGTTAACTCGGAAGCCCTCAAACTCGCCCGCCATGTTGACCCCCTTGGCCGAAGGACTATTGGTGTCTTGACAAAGGTTGACCTCATGGATCATGGCACAAATGCTCTAGATATTCTTTCAGGCCGCGTCTATCCTCTAAAGCTTGGTTTTATCGGCGTCGTCAATCGATCGCAGCAGGATATTCAAGGAAATAAGCCTATGGAGGATGCTCTCCAGGCTGAGGCTGACTTTTTCAAGCACCATCCTGCCTATCGTAACATCTCCATTCGATGTGGCACTCACTACCTGGCCAAGACCCTTAACACTACTCTGATGGGTCATATCCGTGAGCGTTTGCCCGACATCAAAGCTCGACTTAATACCCTTATGGGGCAGACCCAGCAGGAGTTGGCCAGTTATGGTGACATGCATTTTAGCGGAAAGGAGCACCGTGGCTCTCTCATCCTCCAGCAAATGACGCGCTTCGCCAACTCTTTCATTTCCTCCATTGACGGTACCTCGACCGAGATTTCCACCAAGGAGTTATGTGGCGGTGCCCGTATTTACTATATTTTCAATTCTGTCTTCGGCAGCGCACTTGACACCATCGACCCTACATCTAACCTCTCTGCCCTTGACATCCGGACGGCAATCCGAAACTCTACTGGACCCCGGCCCAGTCTTTTTGTGCCGGAGATGGCTTTCGATCTTCTGGTGAAGCCTCAGATCAAGCTTCTGGAAATTCCTAGTCAACGTTGTGTTGAACTTGTGTACGAAGAGCTGATCAAGATTTGCCATACATGTGGCTCCACCGAGCTTTCACGATATCCCAGACTTCAGGCCAAACTCATCGAGACAGTCTCAGACTTGCTCCGTGAGCGTCTTGGTCCTGCTTCGTCATATGTCGAATCACTCATCTCCATCCAGCGCGCCTATATCAATACTAATCACCCTAACTTCCTCGGCGCAGCCGCCGCCATGAGTAACGTAGTCAGTGCAAAGCAGGAGCGAGAAAGGAAAAGGCTGATCCAGGAGGAGCGCGAGCGCCGAGAGAAGCGGCGTCTGCAGGAGCTTGAGGCCGAGGGCGATGGCCCTGAAAATGAGGATGGCGTCAGTGGCCCTCTTGAGAAGCCTGAGAAGACCAAGTCAGGAAGAACCAAGGCCACGAAGCCTCCTCGAAGTATATCGCCTTCTCTTTCAGTCCGCGAGAACGGAACCTCGAGCCTTGCTGCCACTATGAACGCAACGCATTTAAACGGCACTCTTCGTTCAGCTTCACCCGCCCGACTCAACCAACAGGGACTTGGAGGTGCTCGAGATTCCTTCTTGAACTACTTTTTCGGCAAGGATGGCCAGACCATTGGCGCTCCCCTCCCCAGCCCCGGCGCCATGCCCAATATGCCTAACGGACGACATATCAGCCAAAACTCGGAGACTAGCTTCCCTATTGTGCGTCGGGAGAGGGAGTTTAACCGACCATCTACAGCGACAACAATGGCCCCCGAGGACGACTTGTACGATAGAACAGGGAAGAACTACGGCTTGGCATCCCAAATGGTAAGTTCCGAGGATCTACAGGTGCCCGGTCTCCTCTTCTCACACGAAACTAACCCCCACCACCAGGGTGAATCCGCGGAGCCAGCTATGACAGATCGCGAGGCCATGGAGACGGAGCTTATCCGAGCTCTTATCTCTTCCTACTTCAACATTGTTCGCGAGTCCATCGCCGACCAGGTCCCCAAAGCTGTCATGCATCTCCTTGTCAACCACTGTAAGGACGTCGTTCAGAACCGCCTCGTCAGCGAGCTCTACAAAGAATCTCTCTTCGAGGAGCTCCTCTACGAGGATGACGGCGTCAAGAAGGAGCGTGAGAAGTGCGAGCGCCTGCTTCAAACCTACCGCGAGGCCGCTAAGATCATTGGCGAGGTGTTGTAGATTCAGCACTGATTTTGATCTATGGGTTTCTGGAGAAAGGTCACTATGCGACAGCGTCCCGTTGAACCTGACAATAATGAAGAAAAGAAAGACCAGTAACAGCCATATACGGATGGAAGGATAGACTCGAAGGAGGAAGGCGGAACATAACTTGGAAACACCAAACAATGTCGATCGCTTTTGGTCAAGGGCTCGGGCTCTTGAACCAATCTTGACTGCTCTGCCCCTCAATGGAGCAGAGCAGGAGAAGCAGAACAAAGGAGAGGAACGAGAGAAGAAAAGAGTGTCGTAATTTTTTTCTTTTCATTATCATCGTTTTTTCTCTTATCTTGTACATCACCAACTGGCATTGGAATTGCGGCCACATTCAGCTTTAGTTTCTGATAATGGCTCTAACGAGAAGACGGGATCGGAATACAAGAGGAGGGCTTGTATGTATGTATGGATGTATGTAAAAAAGCAAAGCAAACTCGGCTCGTCGTCCTAGCAGAATACACACAATGTACTACTTCATAATATCTGTCAAATGATGAATACGTTCACTAAACTGGCTGAGGGTAGTACCGACTTCAACTGAAGAAAGACATTTTACACACGATGTTGCAGTGACTTGTATATATATATATATTTACACACGAATTCGGACTAGTTAATTGGTGTCATCCTTCCTCCATTGCAACATTGAAGCGCATTGAGTAAATCATCGCTGGTTCCCATGGTACACCGGTGTTCCCCCTGTAATAGAGGAAGGATATCGTGGGTTGTAGTCGTTATAATTAGGCCTGAGAGCAGGCTGACTCGGAATATGAGGATCTGCTTCAGGATTCAAGTCATAGCCCGAAGGGCCTTGAACTATTCCTTGTTGAGGGAACACGCTCTGCTCTCGTTGTGGCTGTCTAGGCTCATAGTTATGGTATGGCCTGTCAACCCGTCGTACAGGTCGCCTGATGAAGTAGTCGCCGTCCGGATAACGAACCTCGACAACTTCATATGCCTCTGATGGATGCTCTAGAGGAGGACGAGTGCTATGGCGATTATAATAGACGTGATCAGAAGCAGCTGGAGGGTCGAAGTGATACTCTGATGGTGCATATCGAGACCGAGGGTTGGATTCTCTGTAATAGAATTGGTCATGGCTGTCATACCACGAGGATAAAGGTCGGGCATACTCGCCAAACCTTTCATCGTTGGCCGGGCCATATCTGGATTCCTGTGGTAGAGTGTTTCGGGCTCTAAGGCCTCTTCCAATCTCCCGTCCGGATTCATCAACGTAGACGACCTCCTCTTCAAGTATCTGGCGGTTCTGAGCCACATTAGGTTCTTCACACCCTCTTCTTTCGACCTCTGCGTAGCTGGGTGCTGCAGTGACCGAGGTGGTCACTGATGGGTTATGGCCTTGAGGCCGATCGCCAACCGATGCGCTTCTGTTACGTGGACTAGCCGGTTCTGTGCCCGAATAACGCTGTTCTCGGACGTCACGGTAATCGGATGACTTTTCTTCGCGCCAATGAGCCTTGTTCCGTGGTCCTGCGAGATATGAAACATGATAAGTGGTGACTTCTTGCTCAGTCTTGACTCCGATGTCAACATTGTTGCTTCTTTTGTGTGGATCTTGAAACCTTTCGAAGTCCGATGGCGAGTAGTTGTCAAACCTCGAAGCATCATCACTTGCTTGAGATGCACGTGTCCCCTGTGTCCTTTTAGCCCCGACCTTCTTTCGACCATAAACCTCGCTTGCTGGACGAAGATGCGGTATATCTGGCTCAGACTCGATATGTGCAGAAGAAAGGCGCACGTCTAGTCGACTCGATGTCAGGGGCTGGCTTCCCGGATCCGCA